CATTTCACGCACTTGTCACAGAGACTTCTGTTCTCTGCACTAAATTAATCGGGCTCGACGAAAGCGTTTTCGCACTACGACTTAGCACGAGATGCAAGGGAAAAAAAGACAAGCTCCATCTGTCGACCTAAAGTTAGCGAAGTTTGGATGGACGGACACCCCCCAGCACTAGAGTGTCGTGGACCAAGTTTAGCTTTGCTGCTACCAAGTAGGGCCCGTTCTATCTGCGTGGACTATGGGACAATGCCATGAGGCTGTGGCTACTGAACTTGGCGACTATTTTCTTCTTTTCTTTATTCTAGAATGGTTGATACGATGCTTGGTTGTTAGTGGAGAAACGATGAGTGTCGCAGCAAAGAACGCAACTCTGCTGCAGTTCATGACATGGTTGGTATATACGAGTGTTATGAGTGATGCCCGGCATCGTCGGCTCGCCCTTTAAACGACGTCAATCACTTCTTTTGCCAAAGTAAGGAAGGAGACATTCCTATCATTCGACAAAGCAACATATTTGCTAATCACGAGCTACAGAGGATGACGATCGATACTACATGGGCCAACACGACGGGCCCACTCGCCTGCCTTGTAGAGCAAAAGGCTATTACCATTAAAATTTCAAGATTTCGTCATGTCAGCACTCTCTCTGCATCATGGTCATTCATACAACAAAGTCAGCAAGTGTCTATCCTTCCCCCAGGCCCATGGGCCGGGCGTGTTGTCCTTTTGGTCATGCGCTGGACACCGGATGGAGCGGCATCGACTCCATAATGGAGCATCAACCATTCTAAGAGCATGGTATCGTGCGCAAAAAGGGGTTACGTATCGCCCTATTGTTGGTCCGCAGTGCAGATGCAGCCTGGCCATCACATCAAATCCCGTATGCTGTCTTCGCAGCCATCTGAGCGGGAAAAGCAAACACGGCATCCAGTCAGATGTCTGATATCTGAGCCGGCAGTCGCACGTAAACACCAAGCAACGATACTACATACAGAACCAACAGCTACGCGACACGGCATCAGTCCACCGATACAACATCATCAGCGCCTCTTCCACCCGGCCCAGATCCTCGGGATCGCACTAAGATCAAGCTGCAACTCACATCATCCTCCTCTGGCCTGGTTCCCTTGTTCCCCCGATTATGATCATGGCACACAGTGCAAGGCGCTAAGCAAGGGGTGCACAAAAGGCACGAATCAACGATTTTAGGATGCTTCGCAAAAAAGGCGAGAGACGGCAGACTAACACTGCTAGCATCTACAGTATCATCGTACTGACTAAATGCTACTAAGCAGAAAGGTCGCATGGGTGCCGGACGTCCTTGGAGTCTCTGTTCCCACCGCGCTTTAACCTGCCGAGGACGGCCCCTCCAGTCCCGTCGCCGCTGTCACATCTGGCCTCCCGTCCACGTTCAGAGTGGGTAATGCTCGTTTGGCCGCTAAAAAGTGTTGATGTACAGGTATAGGGGGAGGGTGTGTGCGTTACTAGGCAGCTAGGGAAAGGCAGATCTGAGCTTGCGAGGGTTGATGGTCTGTTGCCACTAGCATTGTCGATGTCGATATGGCCCTTGTCTTTTGCCTTGCGGGATGGTGGTGTTTACGCGAGAACATGACTCGGCACAATTACAGTTTATATTGACGACAGCTCAGATAGGAGAGGTCGACAATACGGTTCCTCGTTTTGTCAAGTCACGGCAGACAGCCTCTTTTATTATACGCACCGGGCGAGCCCCTCGTCCAGAAGTCTCACCTACTAATCGACTGTTTATTAGACAGCGCCTGGAAACTACCTGCTGCTGCTGCTGCTGCTGCTGCTATGTATTACTCATGTAATACCTAGATGGACTATTTCCAATTTCCATCACATCGCCCCGCCTATTCTACAGCATACTATCAGCTAACAAGGCACGGCATGGCATGGCATGGCATGGCATGTTTTATTTCTCCGTACCTAGTCTCCTCCTAGACTATCTTTTTCAAAACCACACACCCACTAAAAAAGCAAGCCGGACAAAAAGCCAACAAAACGAGCTGCTTTCTAAAATAGCAAGTACCAAAATTCTAAAACAGATTAAAATAAGGTGACACCGGCTTTTTCGGTGGACTTTGGGGGCTTTGTTCTCTTTAGCTCCCGCTGCGCGCCGTCGCTTGAATGGACGCTTGCTTGTGACATCAACGCCATGTATCATGAGAAAGACTCGGCCATATCACGTCTCAATATATAGCAGTCATCTCTTCCCATTCTTCTACATCACCTCCATGATATTTGATCAAACCCTCCATCTCGCATAAACCTTCCTCCTCTCAAGATACTAAAACCCATAGAGTAGCATTCCGTTATCCCGATATCCCGTCATCCCACTAGTAGTGCCATCTCAGATCAAAAAAAAAAAAAAAAGTGCCGGGCGCCCCCCTCTATTTGCAGACGGTTCCAAAAAGTCCGGTCTCCTTCCATCCCCCGGTCACTTTAGACGCAACTAAAAAAGGTGAAAAGACAAAGAGGAATAGCACGACTTGGAAAGTAAAAAAACCCAACCAAGAAAATTAATACAAAAAAGGGTTAAAAACGGTTGGTACGACAAGTTTATTTTTCTTTCCCTTATTCTTTAGCTGCACACGCCCTCTCTAGTTTAAATCTTCCACGGCCCTTGTCAGTAAGTACTATCCAGCTATCCCATTCTGTTGGTGTTTTATTTTTTATCTTTCCATGGTATTGCCTCTTTCGGCTTTCGCATCGCATCGCTGCGCATCGTCCCGCAAGCCATTCCCGCGTGGATCTTAACCTTTCTAGAATAAATGCAACAACAACAGTTCAATTCCCATCCTGAACTCACCTTTTTTTTTCCCTCCCTCTACTTCTATTAGACTCGCTGCAGCTGCTGTATAATTTCTTAAATTTTATTGTCACACAACAGAAGCATTCTAGTGCGATCATCTCAGCTCCAGCAGTAGTTTAGTACCTTATCCCGCAGTAACACAAACAAAACCTCCATTGTCACTCATCAAAGCCCCCATTGTGTGTCTCACTCTCGCGTGACCACCTTTTTCGTACTAAACCAAATCAGCCCTTATATTTTCCCTCTCTTCTCTTGTTTTTATCCCCCATGCTCCTGTTTTTTTCCTCATCTATAAATCTCACCTCGCCCATACCATAAAAGGCCAGCAGTCCAACCCAAAAACTACCTAAGCTTCATGTCCATGCCATGTGGGTTCCCCACGTCTCAAACTAAAAGCCTGTGTACGCCTCTCGTCGAGAAGGAACAAAAAAATCACCAATCAAATTAAATAAAATAAAATAAAATCACCCAAGACAAGTAGCATTAGCGCCATCTAAATGCACATAATCATACCTCTATATACCTAGCACGTACATACATACAGGCATCTAAAATATATAACACAGAATGTACCCATACTTAGGTAGACCAAGTAAACAAAAATCCATCCCCCGCGCTAAAAAGTTACAAACACCACCACCACCACCATCATCACCAACCCCATGTCTCTTGTGTAACAAACAAAAATCGCACCGTGTTCATGTTCCCCCCGTCACACCCCGAACGGAGCCCTTAATCCTCGGCTTCTTCTAGTTTATTTATTTATCTATTTTATCTCTTAGTCTTCGACACTAAGGCAATCATCTAGGGGGGTTGATCTTGGCGCGGCGCTTCTTTCTGTCTGTCCCGACAGCATGGCAACACGGCTAGTCTGTTTCTCATCCCCATGCGAAGCTAAAAAGAAAATTGAGAGACAACATTAAAAGCTTACTAGTATACCCATGTGCAGGATTTCCTTGCTTAGAACGTGCGTAGGGTTCTGGAGTCGCATCTTCATAGCCTTGCTTCTGCTTATATGGGTCAAACTTTGTTGGTGTTGCGGGCGTCGTCGACATCACAGCATCTTCACACAATTCACAAAAACGCTCAAATTTCATTTAGCTCACAACACTCTTATTATAACCCGTAATGACTGTCAAGGTGGTTTTGCTACAAATCGTATACAGTCTCCTCTCTTTTCTCTTAAACACAAAAATAAAAAGAGAAGAAAGTAAGTAAAAAAAAGTGAGTAGAAAAGAAATTCGTTGCAAAAAAAAAAAAAGCGTTACACAAAGCGTTCTTCTCGCCGCAATATCTTAGCGCAAGTAAAGCACAAATTCCAATCTTTCCGAACCTGGTATTTTTTTTTCCTCCATCATTTTCCTTTCTCTTTTTTTCTCTTTTTTTTCCAAAAGCTTTCCTCGTCCCACTTGGTTTGCTTCAGCCCTGCTTAACTCTTTACAAGTGAAGAAGACAAAAAACAAGTCCGCACGGGGGCCTTTATACAAGGCTTTCAAGAGTCCAAGTTGGTTCGTCTTTATGCTCCCATGTCCAGCGCTCTGAGCGTTTCCTTCACTTGACAAAAGTCGTATCGCTTTTTTTCCCCGCCTTGCGGCGATACAGAAGCAGCTTCTTTTCCCCAGACCAAAGCTACCTGGGAAAACCCCATGGTGCTTTCACCCGCCGTGGTTTCAGTACTCCGTATCCTCTGCGCCGAACCGCCCCTGAAAATTGCATCACGCCATGAAAGAGCCGACCATCTCCGGAGTGCCTCTGCCAATGCAACACCCCCAGTAACCGTAGACCAATGCACTTTGAGTGCGAAAAAGCCGAAGAAAATATTGAAAACAGACAATAAAAAAAGATTTCGAACAAGCGTAAAGATAACAAGAAAAAAAGGAGTTAACCACCTCATAACTGTTGTAGAATCAAACACGGGTGCCTCCTTATTAAGATTGCTGGTCAGCAAAGGGTACCCAACTCCCTTGGAAGCACCCTAAAAAGGAAACTCGGGTGATATATATCCCACTGAGACATTATTCCTCGAGAGGTCGCCGTAGACTCTTCTCTTGCCGTAAAAAAACACACAAAGAAAAAACCCATTATGTCCAACGCATGGAAAGGGAGAGGGGAATTTGTGACCAGCAAACTACTATATGTCCGAATCAGGGCCACCACATGTGCAAGCCTAATGGCTAGGAGCGGGTGCACCGTTTGCTAGAATTGAATTGTTGATTAGTCACGGAAGCATATATAATCGGTTTCAAGTTTGAATCGTTGACCTACATTGGCTGTACATGTTTTGCTGGCTGGGCTGGGCATAAGGAGAGTGAGGCTGGTAGTTGGAATACATGTGGCCGGCTCCATACTCGGGCATGGGTTGCTGACCAACATTGCCTGAAGGTGGCGCCGGGTACTGGGTAGGCTGGTATCCTATGGGAGGCAGCTGGACAGCTCGTCCGGGATAGCCAGATGAAGGCGCGCCGTCGGGGCCTTGAGGATCCCCACCGCCGTTCTGTGCGACGCTCGCGGCCGCAGCCCTCTGTCGCTCTTCCTCAGCCTTTCGCTGGGCCTCCTCCTCCTTCTTCCTCTGCTTCCACTCTTTGCGGATTTCCTTGAACTCTATAAACGGGTTGTCAGCTACTTGATGATTTCATTTTGCATCTCCTCCACATGGCTGGCTTTCTTTCGCGAACGGGAAATGGGGCTTAATCTCAAAGTCAAAATCGACGTTTTCGTAGAGGCTCAAGGTTGGTTCACGTGATCAAACCTTGAACTGTGAACCCAAAATCGCCATCCAGATTCGAGCTGTAGTATTTTGAAAGATGATAATACAAAAGTAGAAGAGTAATGCAACGAAAAGACAAAGGCTTGCCAAGCGCAAAATACGCCGCAAATCAAGGAATGAGCCAAGAGACAGTGGTGCGATATTCGCAACGTACCTTCGGGAGTTCGCTTCTGTCCATGAGACTGCATGGTGACGTGGGCATTGAGATGGTTCAGAGTGCCGTAGGCCTTTTCGCAACCGTTCCAGCCACACTTGTACATGCGCTCGATCTCCTCATATCGTCTTCGAGGACGCTTGTGCTGCTGCGCCCCGGGGATGGGCACGAAAGAGTAAACCTGTTAAAAAATCAAGTTTGCGTTAGCCAATGCGCGCCGGAGTTTTATAATATGTCCAAGTCAACTTTTTTTTTTAATTCTGCTAGAGTCTGCAGACGAATTGTGGTTTTTTTTTTTCTTTCTTTTTTTTCACGTTTGTTTCTCTTGCTCTCGCGTCTGCAAACTCGCGTGCGCGCAACTCCACTTGGACGTCGCGCCAAGATCACAGCCGCACCACCTCGTCTTTCAACGATGAGGGCTGACAATAGTTTCTGTCACATCCGCTTCGTCCATTGACAGTTTGACTCTCATAATCTTCCTTTTTGTGTTTTCTTCCTTTCTTTTCCATCTTTCAGTGGATTCCAAAATCGTCACCTATACGTACCTGGCTGGGTCTCTGCTGCGGCGCCGAGGCGGGCGATTGAGCGTAAACGGGGTGGCCAGGAGTCAAAGGAGGAGCTCCATGCTGGCTGTAGCCTGCCCAGTCAGGGCGAGGCTGCGCGTACATACCACCGCTGGGATGGGAGTAGCCATGAGACATGTCTGGATTAGGCGCATACGGCGAGTGCTGCCCGTAAGGGTAGGTAGGACTCGGAGCCGCAATAGACGGATCTATAGGCACATCGTTGTCAGAATTGACGGGGTGGGCTTGATGGCTTGGCCCGTTGTGCTGGGGCATAGACGGACTGTTCTGTTGTTGCGCCATACCTCCGCTGCTGACGCTGCTGGATGGATGGTATGAACGCTGGATATGCTCCGAGTAAGATCCTGATCGCGCAGAGGGAGGATAAACGCTGTACTCCGAGGTGGGAGTTACAGAGGTAGGATAGTCTTGTTTCCCTGGGTACTGAGCAGCAGACGCGTGATCTGCCGACGAGCCTTCAGAGTGGTGGTCGCCGAAGCTGCTAGAGTAGGGCGAAGGCAAACCTGACTGCGAAAACTGAGTTGCACCGCGGTCCATAAAAACTCGTAAAGCGTTGTTCGACAAAGGCGATGCCCAAGATACGTAACAACTTGCCAAGACAAGTTTCTATATACGACGACGTATGAGAAGAAAGGCAGTCCAAAAGAAAGATGTCTTTCTTGGCTCAAGTCGCGATGTAGTTGTTTTGCGTTTTGGTTCCAGGAACGTGCTACCGACTCCACACGAGGTTGGCGTGTAGTGGGAAGAGGGACAAGAGGGAAAAAGAGACGGCGTCCAGACAAGAACTAGGTCTAGTAGTTTCCAAGCACTCGCGTCGGGGCTTGGTGTGATTCCTTTCCCAAGGTTGGTGCAGGGGGAGGATGAAATAGTAAGAGACAAGACGACAAGCCAGGGCTACTCCGGGGCAAAATGGTGTCGCGGCGGCGCGAGTTGGTGGAAGGGCTAGTATATGTAATATCGCCGGCGGCGGCAATAGTAGCGCGGGCTGGGGGACCGGCGTATAGCAAAAGTTGTTTAAAAAATGCTCGGTTCTTTGGGGTGCGTGATGTGATGCGCACTAGTTGCAAAGGCCCAGGAGTCTGATCTTGCCAGGATGTCTTGCTTTGGCCCGCGATCAAGGCAGAGTCTGGAAGGGGGCTAAAGCTAAAGCTAGGCCTTCCGGTCGTACAGAATTGGGGACGCCGACTAATATAGTGCCGACAGGTAGAAAACAGGCCGGGATAGCCAGTTCCAAGAGAGTCTAGCGTAATGACTCGGGGCAAGGCCAAGGGGGTGCGAGTTTGTTTGGACTCTGCTGGCCTCTGGCTGAGTATCGTTTTGATAGACGGACACGGGGCGCGACGGCGAAGGCTGCTGGCTGCAATGAGGCGCTTGTGTAGTTCTAGAAGCGAACTCTGCCAAAGAGAGGATGTGGCGGGGCGAGATTGTGGTGGCTCGCTAGAGGAGAGATGCTCGCTGGTCAGTTTATGACGGCGACGAGGTTTGCGCAGGCAGAGTGGTGCGCGAGAAAAGAGTTTTATACGGGCCCAAGAAAATGCAGAGCAGGAAGAGAAAAACCCGTGCCGGGGACTGATGGGGAAGAAAAGCAAAGAGCGCGTGCCTGTGCAAGTATTGGAGGAAGGGTGGGACTGACTTGGCCAGAGAAACGCAGCCGCAGCAGGGCCAGGGCCAGCTCCGTATTTTGCGAGCGAAAAAGGCGAGACCCAGAAGAGCCTGGAGACGATGCTGACCTACCTATTACTAGAGCCACTGCAGTTCGGTACCGTAGACGCAGCACTGGAGGTACAGTATCGAGTGCGATCCGAAAGTCAGACCCAGCAGCGAGGAGAGACTAGGTGAGGGGGGCGTGTGGCAATCGGATTATTTCCGTCGTAGCGCGAGGCCGAGCTGGTTGGTCTGGCCAGATTTTGGTGCCGGCAGTTTGGGCGCGGGCGACGAGCTGGACTATTCTTAATCTCAGCCAAATTGCACGGATGGCCGCAAGCACGCCCCGGACAGCGAGAACGCGCGTGCTGATTGATGGACGGGGGAAAGAATCCAGGGCACTTGTTGGTGGTGAGGATGGAAGCGCGGTGAGTGGTGAGGAAATTGTGAATGAAAAAAAAAAAAAAAAAAAGAATAAAATACATTGGAAAAAAATGGGGGCGTGTATGTGGCGGGTGATTTGCAGAGCATGCACTCCGTATACGTATAGGATACATAAGTACCTAGGTAGGTAGCCAAGTACTCATACATGCGCAACTTGATACAGCACCCCGTCAAACCGAAAGGGCAAAAGGCAGAGAAAAAGAAGAGAGGGCTCACTGAATGAATGAAACCCTGTCCTTGCAGCAAGGAAGAAAAAAAAGCGAGTTTCTTCCCCTCCCAAACAGCAATAAACCACCCCCGGCTGGGCTCAGCATCGGCGAGACACGACAGATGTGGCAAAGCTGAGGCGGTGATGTAATCCGTCCAGAGCATCGTGACCGCGTGCGGACTGCTTATTACTGCTACAGATACGTGCACGAGACGATTCTAATGGTTGTCTTCAACGATATCCATTGTGCAACCACCCAATGCCCTCGAACATTGGATTCGGATGCTGATTGCTGATGCCCATCCCATAGCACGTACCACTAGCAGCGTCTCCCAGCGCGCTGCTGGTGCTTGTGCCTAGTCGGCCTTCAGCCCCGACAACCAGGTTCAAACCCGGTGGAGGCCACCACTTCGCGCCCAGATAGTGCTACTCTGCGTTGGGCCAAGTACAGGTACCTCGATCCCAGCCAAGCGGGACGCAGCTGAAGGCTGGTGGATGCCAGCAGAATTGGAATGAGATGGATTGTGCCACCCCTGCAACTGAGAGGAGTACTCCGTCTCCCGCACTGTATGTACTCTGCGTGTTTTTATTACCCACACGATACTAGAAGATCTGCGCCTTTTTTCTTGCGATAAATAATGGCCAATCACCGGCCGACCACCTCGACCCAATAGAGGGCATGTCACTGATGGAGCCCGTCCTTGCGGCTTGGCTTTCGTGGGGGGGTGGGCTCAAGGAAACCTAGTCGCATAGGCCATGGCCGCTTCGATCCAATGTTACGCCGCCGGAGGTAGTGCCAATAACGGCGAATTTGGCCTTGACAGCAGGCGGCCGCGCATGTACGAGCCATGGAGGAGCATAAAGGTACCTGCCTACACAAAGAGTAGCAAGAGAGAGCAGAGAGGAGAGGAGAGGAGAGGGGAAGAGGAGAAGAGGGGACGACGAGAAAGAAAAGCGCACGGTACTGGTACAGATGGCACGGGCGAGACCACCGCAAACGGGCAAAAAAAGCCCAAAAGCCCCAACCCCCCTCCACATCCACTTGCGCTCTTTCGGGGGAATGGACGAGAAAACTCTGGTTCCCAATGCGTCGCGGTGTCGTCCTTGGGGCCTGGCCTCGTCCTCGTCGCATGGTCGATGTCGATGTCGATGTCGCGATGGAGGGGCGAATAAGGCAAGGCGGAGAGGCAAAATCGAAGCATCAAGGGCTGAAGGACAAACGACGGCTCGGCGCCGAACCAGCATCGACGTCTGGTCCCAAAGAAAAGACCCAAGACCCAAGACCCGAGAGCTGGAGCTGGAGCCCAGCGTCATGGTTCCAGTGTGGCGCTAGCGAATGTCGCACGCGAGCGAGCGGCCCACGCTGATGAAAAAAAGGACGGAGCACCAAGTCCAGGTTGCGCTGCTAAGGATATTCTCCGCAGAAAGGGCGTTCGTTCCCAGCGTGCGACGCTCCACCCAGCCGCCTGTGTAACAGCGACTAATCGTTCGATAGCCGGGCCATGGATATGCAAGAGAAGAGAGAGCGAGATGGAAGAAGGGAAAAGAAGTTGGCCGCGACCGGCATGGCTATTATTATCTCGTACAGTAAGCTGTCCGAAATGGGGGCGCATTTATCCTATGTTATAAGGCGCTCGCCCACGCTTTGTGAATCACTCATCATCTACAGGTCCTGACGGCAATGCCTGTCCTGAGAGAGCATCAAATAGAGATGTGGCTATCCTGCCACTGCTCCTCTGGCCCTGGATCGTCCGCTAGTTTCCAGCTCAACGTGCAAGCGCTGCTAGTGCCAGGAGGCAAGCACTGGTCCTGGAGCAAGTGCAGCCGTGAACCGCCTTAGTGCTTGGCCGTCTGACTGCGGGCTGCCATCGGCTCTGTCAACGGGTTCTAGGCGCAGCCCAGGGGCCCCAGCAATCTCTGCCGCAGCAGGCGACAGCTTTTCCCCTCAAGCTCTGATGCAGCGCGCCAGGGGAGGGGCAGAAGACTAATGCTAATGGATCCCAGCACCAAGGCACCTACCGCTAGCATACCGTAGCAGTTACCGCATGTGTCCCTCATACTGTACCTGTATATTGTCCATGTCATTTTATACCTTGCCCGTTACTGATAAACAAGCATTTCAGCCAACCACTGATCTGTCACATTCGCCAGATTGCTGAGAGGGGAGTGCAGTTACGAGTAATGGCCCGGATCACCCACCAGACTGGCGAAATATTGCTTGCCTAGACGCATTACGTACTTGTGCTGGGGACGCTGGCCAGTCACCGGCTTGCGAAGAAGATATGGCGACTCGAAAAGAGCGTCATGCAGCGAGACGCAATCAGAGTTGCCAGAATGACAGCGTCCATCAGCTGATTCGCCTCTGGTCGTTGCTGAGCTCCGATAGGTTGCCAAGGGCGCAGGCGTGTGCAGATGCAGGCACCGCTCTGGGACTTGGACGCAGGCTGTTCTGTTCAATCACATATGGCGGCCGGGTTGTATACATACCATCAATGTATGTACAGTATGCACGGCCGACGCCTTCTAATAACGATGTAATACGGGCGCGTCACCTCTCGCAGCCAATGCGCGATGCATGACCTGCTGAGGCGTTTATGAAGAAGAAGCTCGAGACCACACTTCGTGCACACCGCACACGCCAGGCGTCATTCCCCCGGCCTCGCTGCTTGCCGCCCGACGCATGTCTCTGCGTGTTGCAATAGTATACTGTAAGATAACAAGCCATCAATGCTTCTCACCGTACGCGGGACGAGTCAGGGCCTATGTACTAGCATCAGCAAACGAGCGCCTCTTGTCTCCGCAATCAGTCGATGCGCAGATCCAACCCAATTTGCGTCTATCCAGCTTCCATTTCCACGCACCGCAATTTCTTCGGCCGCGTCGCATAAACCAGAGACGACGTTGTGATGCCCGCAGAGGGCCTGGAACTGCGGCTTTCAACCCCGTAGCATTGCTTGTGGTAGGATTGCATGGCTCTCCACTCTGGTCGCTTGTCAAACCTTTCGATATGACAGCCCTCTTGTGCTAGTACCCTTTCCGCTTTCGGATGAATGGTTAAACCCGTTTCCGCCTCGACGCTCAACGCCCAGCGCCACCACCACCACGGCCAACCACCCTGCAACTTGCCATCATCCAAGCTTTGATTCATGCGCTCGAACAGGGTGCCAGGCGGACGATATGCGCCACTATGGGTTAACTGCTCCGTTCCTACCCCATGCCGTCTATCCTGTCGAGTGTGATTGAGTCGATGTGATGGCCGGACTGACAAAGCATCTCGATACGTCTCCCAGGAAGCTGCACTCACACGGCGGAAAAGCATTGCAATAGGCAGCCACGGCATCGTCGCAGAGGCATCGAGAATACGAAGTGCATGTAGCATCGCATTTATGTTCGGAATCTCCAAGGCTCGACACCGTGACCCCAGCAATGTGTGCCAAGGTACGCCGCATCGCTTTTCGTATGCCAACCTGAGACATACATGCAGAAGTGGTATCCAGAGAGAGGGACTGTACCATGATAGGCTCAGGTATATCGACAGGTATCTTTCTTCTCCATCTCTCTCTCTCTCCTTGCTTCTCTCTCTCTCGCTTCGCCATCTCTCTCTGGTTCCATTTCCCTCTGTCTCTCATGAGTCAAGACATCTATAGAGATTCCCTACTTCGTACATACCGCTGCATTCCAAGACTCATGGCCATGTCAAGCCACAACGCACAGTCGAGAGCTCGGCGGCAACGCAATAATGAACCCACTAGGTAGCCATCATGCATAGTCCTTCAGCCGTTGACTCATGTCTCTTCTTGCCCAGGTCTCAGCCGCAGCCGTACAAAGCTGTGCGAGCGCTATTACTGTGTACTACTTTTGATTTTGTAGCCATCGTCGCTTCTGCCAGCCTAGCTGAAGTAGCCTTCAGCCTTGGAGGCGTTTAACAGATCAAATCGACCCGAGTCTTTGGTAGAGACTAAAATCGCCCCTCAGGCCATCTATGCCCCGAATTGGCACGGCCGCGCTGTTTCGTTGGTCAAGGTGCCGAGGGCCAAAATCATGGCCTGTCTGCCGGCGTCAGAACGATGCTCCAGCTAACGTCCATGCTTCTCTGAGTTTGTCCTAGTGAATGACAGAAATAAAGAAGAGGGGAATGCATCCTAGGAGGCTTCACGCTTCAGACACCAAAGCATATTACATACTACTGCGATTACACTTGCACTCTACCATGCTAGTACATACTAATGCCTGACATACCGCAGACCTGCAAAGCCGCGCGCCCCTAGCAAGAATGAAAAGAGCAATCCAGCAGCAAGTAAGATAGCTACTAAGAGGATGCAAACCACAAAGGCATCTTGTATAACCGCAGTTGGAGTGCAGCATTTCAGCAAGGTGACCGTGCTCGCCGACTACTTGCCAGACTCTCGCAAATGCTACTACACTCGTACTCTTGGCTATATGTACACTGTGCCCCAACAACAGGTTAGCTCGGCTTTTGACAGCTGCTATTTGGAGCAAACGCCTGGAGAATCGACGGCCAAGTGCCGAGGTGAATCTGGATGCATGCAGTTCTTTGGTCAAAGACTGGCTCAAGGAAGTCCGGATTTGTCGACCTTCACCGCAATATCAAGTTTCATCAGCCGTTGGGGGAGGATTCTCGAACTGCGACGTCCCCCTCCCATGCAAGGCGGCTTTCGTCGCACGCAGCTCGAATTGAAGCCCCTCCTGAGGGTCCACGTGTGATGGCTGAGCTTTGTGCTTCCTTCGAGCCTGCGATGCAACCAAGGGCGTGGCCTCACGTGGTAGATCCACTGATGGGCAGGGTAATGTTGATAAATGATGAATGTCTGATCCAAACGCTGTACGACGCTGGCCAATTCGGGGCCGCGTAGACGATACCACAGCCGTGGAAGCCTCACGGCAGCACTGTACAACAGGGCATGGGATATAGCACTTCGCGCTCAAGGATCGAGTCGTGGAATCAAGGGCAGAGAGGCATGTTGCGGCATATTCGCATACTCAGCTGATAAGTTAATAGGTACTTGGACAATTTTCACTTTGGCTCTTGGCGGCAGTAAAATTGCACTCCATCCAGGTTGCGCCTTTCTACATGCACGTACCGACCAATCTGGCAAAGGTACCTTGTCACTGGTCCAGCCGCACAACTCCACCGACCTTCGCCTAGCTGTTCAACTTTTCTGGGGGAAATCAAATCTATCACCTGATAACTAGACAGGGAGTTGAAAGACATTCTATCATGAGCTCATCCGATAGTCATCAACCACCGCCAACCCGCAGGACGATACAAGGAACAAAAGCAAGAGAATGAGTATAAAAAAAAAGAGGGAAAAAGTTGTGTGAAATCCTGCATCCGTCTTGCATGGTCTGACCTACCTATGCTGCAGCAGCACGCACCCCTTCGGCGACCATCTGAGACACCAATTGGCTGATGCATTGACTGCAGCCACTCTATCCCGTACAGCCACATAATCAACTATCCAATCGCCACTGAGGGATGAGATACTGCATCCGAAGGATACAATGTTTTTTTCTTCCCATTTGATATATACTAAGTGGGCTAGGTGGTTAGACGTCCTCGCCTTCGTCTTCCCTTGCTGAGCTGGCAGCCGGCGTTAAGTAGGAGTTAGCGTCGATCCAAACGAGGCGGCGCTCCAACGAGATCGTTTCGTTCAAAGTAGGACGAGTACTCGTACATGCTCCCCCGGAGTGCCAAGTTGTTTGATGACATGAGAGCTCTACGTCAGATGGATATCTGGCCGACCGAGTTCATACGGGTACCCAATGGCAATCTGAAGATCATATACTACGTGGTGTTTTTCGCCACCTGGTATGGTAGTCATTGTTCCATCATATCTCCCACACTTGAAAGATGTGTGTCCAAGCCGAACATCGGCTAGCTATTGTCTGGGCTCATTCCAGTCTATGCATATTCCACTGATGTTGAAAACCAAAGAACACCATTATCCTAAAAGGATGGAATTTCAAAGCAACAGTCTTCAATTACACTCGACAAAGGTAGCATATGATGAATATTGCTTCCATCACACTGGTGACACCGCCGGGAAAGCAAGTATGATGTGCTCCGTGGGATGAAGCTCAGGTGTTATCAGGCAGCAAAAGTTCGAATTTCAAATGCCTCAGCAGTGGCACCCTCTTGATACACCCCCCTTGACCCCCATTTCGACAACAAAGGACACTGTATGTGTTTGAACTTGTTCTTGCTCTCTTTATGCAAGTTTCGAATGAAGTTTGGAAGCTGCCAAATGTGTTGATACAAGAGACAGAGCCGAGTGTTGTACAAAATAGCGCAGCAAAGGGTCAGAGATTATATCTCATACTTTGGCCCAGGGGAGTCAATCCAACGAATATTGTACAACAGTGCTTCACTACCTCTCACCCGCAGCATGAATAGCACATACATACTACTACTTCTCTGATAACAAGGCATCTTCGATGAGGAAGAAAAACGGAATACGTACTGCCTACCACCACTGACCGCTAGACTATCACCGGAAGAACTGCTAGCTTGAGTAGAACTAGGCCAGGACAAGGGCCCTCTCGGCCTCCAAGCCCAAAGGATCGAAAATACCAAACCCCCCCTTACGAATGAAACCTGGCTAGCACGGTATCAGTCGCTCTACTGGCTAAAGACGAAGTCAGCCGCACTGGCACGTCCCCCATTCACACCAGGGGACGGGACTGAAAACTAGAAAGCAAACGGCGATCTAATTTCGTTACTGCATCAGCCCTTTAGAGCGAGCAGCGGAACCAGTAAGCTCACCATCTACTGCTAGTACCAGGCGTTAGCACTGGGCATTACTGGGTTTTCAACCTCAGCTGCAATTTCAATACTTCAACTTGCTTCGCAGTCAATGAATCGGTCGATGAAGCAAACAGCAAAGCAGTGGCTTCACTACCTGGCATTTTCTTACCAATCGGCGCGCCCGCCTGCTGCACGTCCGGATGGCTCACAACACAAGACGTGTCGTATTTTTGTCCAATCAAGCCCTTCTGCTTGAAATTGACAATTGACAAATTGCGATAAACGATTCATCGCATAGGCGCTATGGTTTGCAGTGGGGCATTCTTAAGACAGCCGCAAATGGGGTTCCAACACCCTCCCCCTTCAGCTTTCCTGCATGGCGCAGCAAATGTGGTTATCCAACGCGCTAGCACGCCAGCTCACAGTGCTGTGGCTGCCCTTTTGTTCACAAGCCACCGTCATCTCTTTAATCACGGTGGCTGCTCTAGGCCCCATATCCTCCTCCTCTTGGGATGAGATGAACAAGAGCGTCAGATGAGAGACGCCCTAGCGAGCAAACGACTGGACCTTGTCGTATTCGGCCAAGGGGGCGTGACAGCTGAACTTTGAGGCAAAAAGAGGGCTGCGTTAGGCGAAAGGCCTCTCTCCCTTGATCTCTGAATATGAAGGTTGCCATGTTGGAGATGAAGTACACACTGCATGCGGTCTTTTTTCGCACTTATTTCATTGGAGACCTGGGCTGAGACACACTCTTATTTACTTGGGGCAAAGGGGGGAGTTGAGGTGATGCTGAACGTGGTGATCCAGGTGTATCCGATTTCCTGGGAACCGCTCTTCGGAAAAGTTCCCCCACTTCGCGACACCGACGGCGGCCGTGGAGACGTCCAGGATGAAGCAAATGACTAATACTAGTGTAGTACAGACGAATTTCCACGTTAGTTGGATCGACGAAGGGAGCGGCGCCCGGTCGAGAAAGTAGTCTACATGTATCCAGCGCGCGCTGGGCCAAAACTAGCGTCAGCTGTCAGGAGCATTTTTCGCAGAGCTGGTGGTTTACTCTGGGTTCGTAAGCAAGGCAGGGCATCTACACGGCATATGGCCTCTCGATTCGGCTATTGCTGTCACCCTGTCCGGTGCTAAATGATCCTCTCCGCTGGGCAGGATTGATTCGATGTTGCAGTTCTTGTGGAAACCCAGATTACTAGTACGGAATTCGGAGTGATGGTAATATGTGGTGCAGGAGGTGAATAGGCACAGTAAGCTCGCTGTCGCCCAGCTGTTATTGAGTTTGGCTTGGCAGCTTGTTGAGAAACGGCCATATGGGGAGTAGTGTCGTCCCAGCTCGTTCAACGGATCCAAGGGACCGATCTCACTTTCTCGAAATTAAGGACCTACAGGGTATGTGGTACGATCACGGTGTGCTTACGGCTACTGAGGACATTAGTGCTACTAGATGTCCGTAGGGCTGGCGAGGAGCTCCGTATTCCCCTCTCGGTGTGAGACGGTCGCGCGCCAGCTTCAGCATGGACTCGGTACTCCTATCACAATCCCGTATGCGAGCCGATTGCCGAGACGCGGTCAGTGTGCCTGCCCCAGTATGTTGCTTCAAAACCTGCTATCTATAGCTTGGAGGGTCTGATCAGCTCTGCTAATGGAACCAACGAAAAAAAAACAGAACCCCATATTGGTGCGCTTATCATACTGCTACCACTACCACAAGTGTCCGCCTAAACTAATCGCGAAGATCTGATGAGATGGAGCAAGCTAAAGAAGAGAGATTGGATTTAGGGCGGCCGATGTCTAGGCCTTGATTTAACAACTCTAAATTCTGCGAGAGCTGGGACCTGCACTAGAGCCCTGCCGAACAGGAAACGAATCATGTCTAGATAGGAGCACGATATGTGTATAAGAAAGGGGGAGAAGCGAGAGCCGAGGAGATACTAGTAAGCCAATACGCGACAGCAGCTCCTAGGTATACTATGGTTGGCTCGCCTGACCGAATTCCATGTCTCCTTGGGGCTGGGATGCGATATGAACTGGCCCGCGAAAGCCGGTATAGCCATGGCTATCGCCTCGACGGTTCCGAGCGTCGCAGCGAGCATGCTGATGATTGCACGCACTCCATACTGGATGAAGCATAGTGCTGCCTCGCAAATATGACTGCCTGGAGATAGAGCTCCTGGCGTAGAGCCACTCAATATGCGTGCGACATGGGCGCGCGCAAGCATGTCCCTGCTGCAGCGTTATTTGTGCTTCTGCTGCTGCTGCTGCTGCTATTGTTATCATTGGTCGTTATGCGATGCGACTTTGCTTTGGCGATGCCTGGTCGGAGTCGACACACCGAGCGCTATAGGGCAGCGATGCTGGCAGTGCGCGCTACTAGTGCGCTGCAATCCGTGCCAGATAGAGCAAGCGACAGCTACAGTACAGGTGAATGCGCTGGTAGCGGTACCTCCAGCCCCGAGCTAGCCTCCAGGACCAACGTGTGCTAGCAGCAAAACTTATCTCAGATCTTGCCAGCGCGAGCTTACCAGGAACCCAGTGGTCGGTATTGTGCTAGTGCTAGTGAGAGGGCTCCGTGGAGTCGCAAATCCTTGGTCCAGGGATCTCCCAAGCGTCGGCCAGTTCAGCGCATGGCGATCTGGGGGTGGTGGTTTCCATGCTAGCTAGAGGCGCCGATAGTGCTAGTGCGCAGCGCCAGAGCCTACGCCTTAGGGCCTGCCTGTGCTTTAGGGCCTGCCGCAGTGGGCTTTCGCAGCGGCACAGCGCTAAGCAGCCCAGGGGGCGGCTGTTGTGCGACACACCAACGGCGGGTTTCTGACCAGCCAGCGGGCGCCGTCGTTGGGCGCCGGTTGCGTCCCAGGAATACGGGAGCGCACTTGTACGAGCCAGCGTCAGATTCTTGCAGTGGCCCTCGCCGTGCTCAGCCGCGCGGACGGCGAACTGGCGCTCTATCGCCTGCGAGCACAGCAATGGCCGGCCACTGGGGCGCTGAGGCTGCGTGGCCGCTAGCTGGATGACATGCTTGGGCGGCTCGTCACGTTATGTGGTAGCCGGTACCCCTCGCGGGCCTGGCGCGGTACCGACGCGGTGCTGGCTCTGGGCCGCGCAGACGCGAGTACCCAGACGCCAGCAGCGACGACGAGGCAGAGGTACTGCATACTTTGCACCTGAGACATGCACACAGAAGCTGGCCGGCGAGGTTCCCCAGTCGCGCCATCTTGCCTTTGCACACTGCACATTGCACAGTCCAAGATTTCCTTGCCCACGTCTCATCAAATGTCACCCGTCTGCTGGAGCGAGATGCGAAATGCGAAAAAGAGGGGGAGACAGCAACAAAAGTGCACGCTCAAGTGATATCTGGGGCTGAGTGGTGCGACCGACTTGCCCGCAGACCGCTGGCGCGTCTCTTGCTCTTCTCGTCCTGCAGTCGAATTTTCAGCCTCTCCGCTCTATGGATACATATGGACGTGACGATGGCCGTCCAGGGCTGTGGCCGACCATGTCTGCTTTCGTCCAGCTACTGCCGCTTGACCCTGGGCCGTCCACTTTTTTTGCCCTCCCTCCACCGCCCGCCGTCGCATCGAGACTCTAGTTGGAAGAGGGAAGATGGGCATGATGATGGAGACGAAAAAAAAAGTGAGCTCACATGCTCCCGGAGACAGCAGCCGCGACAGCACGGAGCCGAGAACGAGGAGGACACGATACCTGCAAGGCATATGCCAAGATGAGAGAAGAACAACGCAAAAAGCCTCGGTCCTTGGGCTTTGATAACTGTTTCAGCCACCTCAGCCGGGGTGGCTTGCCATTCAGATTGGCACTGGGCTGCTCTGCTTGTTTACCAAGTCCTATGACGTCTGCTGGTGGGAACTGGGCCTCTCCCCAACCTCAATGATTCACCTACTGACCCTTGTGCGGCTGTTCTCATAGGGATTCCCTTGACGTTTCAAGGATATCATTTTGCCGAGTCAGGGCCCTTCGCTCCCCCTCTTTCTTCTCTCCCCATGACTAAGAGACTCAGCAAGGGAGGGACGAGATGACCCGTCTTTTTTTTTTTTTTGATTGTGAGAGAGGCGAGCCTCCACGATTGCTTCGTTCTTTACACACCCCTCCATATTCCACTCGCATTTTACTGGCTCTTCATTTGTCCAGCGCCTCAGCATCCCCGCTGCCGCCAATGGGAGATTTTGCCTTGGCTTCAAAACTTCGTTGGTCTACTGTACTTGCACTTTGAAGTCCCTGTTTCTGTCAGTCTCTGACCCCGACGAGAGCGCCATCCGCAGGACGACAGCGACTGTGACATTCCCCAATCCATCCGCAGCCCCCCCTCCCACAGCTCCAGCTGCAAGCATTATGGAGAAGGCAATTACTACCTACCTGGCCTTAACGGAGGGCTACATCCAAGAGGTAGCATCCGATCTTTTTTTCTCTCCTCTTCTTTTTTCTCAATGTGGGGAACGCGCTATCTATTATTGTACACTGTATAGATACTTTACCTGCAGCTCGTCGGCGAACGTGCTAAAACCCCATTTTCCTTGTTTGACTCATCTCGGCACCCCCGGCCCAGTTATCTGTGTATGGGTCCCCCTTGACTCTGGGATGTTCTCTGATTTTATTGGTCCATTACCGCCTTTCGCTTTTCCTTCTTTCTCCAGTCGTTGGGGTCGCCCAGGTTCGCGCCTTTTATTTTCTCTCGCGCCTGCCTTTCTCCTCTATTCAGGTTATCTTTTTGTGGGCTTGTAGTTCAACCCATGAAGCGAAAAGACGGTCAACTCGACTAATGCGACTTTGCTCTGTACGGACATCGGACTGCTCGTAATGCTTGCCAGGTTGACAAGCTGGGATGTGACGGTACCGAGCAAGGCATACGATCCTGCCTACATGTACAGCTCAGAATCAAAGCCTCAACCACCATCTTTTTTCTATCTGTGACGACGACGAATCACACATGTTATTCTCTCTTCTCTCCCTTGTCTGCATTGAACCCCCCAGTCACACACAACACACACTCCTTGATTTGGGCTTGGCACATCACACGCCAAGTGGCATGACTGAGAGACATGTATGAGTACCTGCTGGAAAACACGAGACAGCGTGGATGGATGTGTGAGAGATTCGCTTGCGATAGTTTAGTGACTGGAGATATAAGGTTGATTAAGAGGCATCTGACCCATGGGCCATGGCTATCGCGATGCTGGCTAGCCACTGCTACACCCCTTGACTGAACCTGGTCGTCAGTCTTCCGTGTGTCTTGGCTTTTAGCTAGCTCGGCTCATCCCTGGCTCGATTGAGAGAGCTGCGCTTTTTCGGACGCGTCTCGTCTCAGCGTGGAGATCACGCTTCACATGCCTTGCCCACACACGGGTCTTTTCTTCCTTGCCAGTTCATTTCTTCCAATGCGACGCTGAAGGAACCATCTGTCTGGGAAAGATTTACGGGATACCGTATAAAGAAGTTTCCTTCTGAATCCTCGGTCCGGACTCCCTCCCCCCTCCTTTCATATAATGTGATCCTTTTTCCCTCTCCTCCTATAGTACAACGCCACTGTTGACCACGTGCTTACTACGCCCGTCCCGGCATGGATTTGATTTCAAAGGATAAGACAGCGGAGAACATTCCGCAGATGAGGAGGTAGGTGAACTCTCTCTGCGAGCAAGCGGAGGAGGGACTGCTGGGGTCTCTTTAGGTCTCGTCCCTCCATGGTTGACTATCATCCCTGTTACGTGTGCATTTGACCTACTTTCCATTCGGCGACCATTTACTTTGAGGGTGGTATTTTTTTGTCTCTTTGCGCGTTTCCCCTCTCCTCCTTTCAGCCTCAGGAAAAAATAGAAAATTGATTGATCGTTTCGACTGGGGGGGTGTGAGTGTGTATGTGTTTTGTTTTTGTCTCTTCTCTTTCATCTCTTTCTTATTTGAAATGAGATTTGAATGCACTGTGGGCGTTAGACCAGGGTATAGAGGCTGATAAAGAGAAAACGAAGAAAAAAATGTGGCTCTCTTCTCTCCCCATAGTTTTTTTTTTTCCAAAATCGGGGCAAAGACGTGCATGACAATGGAGAGGGGGCCTGGACTTTTTTCTTTTTCCCCTCCCCATGCTGTTCTGTTATACGATTCGGTGGAAAGTAGGAGGCTTTTACTTGTACGCTATTTGTTTTGACACGCGGGCGTTTCCTGAATAGCCTATGCGATGGGGAAGGACCCTTGGATTTCCTAGCGGTGATTATACGTGCCTCCTACTGTACGAAGTGAAGTATGCTGTAGGTGAATGCTCTGCGTGTGACGATTTTTGGCCAAGAATATTGAGCACCAGTAGAGAGGGGAAGAGAAAGGCTCTCAGCGTAAGATGCCTTCAGTCTCTGGGAGAGTATGAGTTTTGCGGTTGAGATCTCAACGTTTGCTACCCCTCCTCGTCGCGTTTTCTACTTGCTTAGAGTTGCTCCATATAGTACCTCCCTTTGTATAATATTTGCAGATTCTTGCAAACACGCCCCCTTTGCATTGAACTGCTTTTTCGCCAAGCGCTGTGATCTGTACAAGTATATGCGCCATTTGAAAGAAATCCACTTTGTAGAAATGCTCATATGTCATGTATCTATATCGAGTAATTCATACACGAAGGTATTCTTCGAGCGGGCGTTGCAGCGGTTCTCCGATTACGGTTGCCCCAGCAGGGGGGGAGGAGGCTCAAAATCTCACCTCCTCTCCTCTCCTCTCCTGGAGAACTTGCCCGTTTCGAGGGGCTTGCCATTTGCCTCTTTTTGATATATTGATGAGAAATGGGTCCCTAGTCTCTCTACTCCCCAGAATTATTTTGGGGCTTTAGGAAAGCATTACGCCTCGTTTTTGGGATTTTTTGGCGCCTCATAGTGTTTGGGCTTGGGGGGGTTCGTTCCTTGCCTAATGGGGGAAAACGATGGTCGGGGCTAGTGGTAGTTTTTGTTCAGCTGGGTAAACTTGCCTTGTTTTGCTTACTATTCTATCGTGTAGTTTCGATATGAATGACATGAACGATTGCTTTATCTTGTTTGGGAGGGGGGAGATGTGGCTTGGTTGTATATGTACGAGTCAGTGTGGATGATTTTAAGATTTTGACTTGATAGGATGTGTTTTATTGGATAGAGATGATGGGGAATTAAACTAGGCTTGTTGTATTTCAGTAATTAAAACATGGATCAGAAAGACATCATGTTTGTAAAAGAAAAGGGAGGTTTCTATTCTTGTTACAATGTGAGCAAGTAGATATGCTATATCACTCAGCATGTTTAATATCGGAGTTATTTGTGGAGATTTCTGGCAAAGATAATCGCCGTCGTGGCCTTTCCAGATTACCGGGTAGGTCCTGAATCAATCTGCAGGGAGAGAGACGTGGACAGCAATTCCTCAGTATCGGCGTTCACCGGCCTGCAGTTCCAACCAACAGAGACACGGACATGGCCGACCACCTGCTTTTCTTCATTAGTATTGACAGCTGTTAAGACATGAAGCAGAATCCTTGTCTGTTTGTGTTTCTTTTTTTTTTTTTATAGGATTTTTTAGTTCGCCGATGTCTTGGAAGGATTTTGCGGGACCTTGAGCATGACCGGCGGCTTGGTAAATGGCTATATTGGGGATATGACACGGACGTGATAAGTAAACAAGGCAGAATTTGCCAAGCACTGTTATTTCCTGCCGCCTCGTGGTCTTACTTGTATACTTAATCATTATAAATTAATTTCTATAATCCATTTTTTTGTCCCATTGGACCATGTTGATTACAAGCTTCTGACATTGGCAAGAATGGACTGATATGGATGTCACTTTTTTTTTTCTCGTCTGCTGACCGGATCCTGTCCTCGTTCTTTTTATTCCCCGGTGGCTATACTTTTTGCATGCACATAGTAATACCAGCTCGTACGAGCATACTATTCCAGTCAGTAGAAAAAAAGCCAAGCGAAAGCGAAGCGAGGGAAAAGAATCCTTCCGCCCTATAGGATTTCGTACATGTTATATTTATGGTGCATGTGCGTCTGTGTGTGAAAGCTCAACCACTCAGGAGAGGCTTGCATGACATTTGGGGCTGGGGTCTGCTTTATTTATATTTATATTTATTTTTGCTTGTTTTGTATCAGTTATCATTTAGAGTCTTGTCGCCTTCTTTCTGTTTTTGGACGACTGGGATGTTTTTGTGCATGTATGTAAGACGGAGAAAAAGAACAAGAGTATAAATGAAGCAAGCAAAGCACAAAAGCAGCAAGGGGGTCGGGGAACAGCATCTAGCAATGGAATGGAGTAAACGACAATGATTCGAAATACATGTGATGGCATGTGCGTCGTAGTACTAGTCAAGGTTAAATGCCTTGATCCCTGTTGATGCAGCTCAGCTCTCAGCTTCTAGCTCAGCCTCGCCCTGTCCTCCCCTTTCCAGACGAAAGAATGGGTAGAAGAAGCATAGCAAAAGGGGGGGGGGACACACGTATGCAGTCTTACAATAAATAGCAAAGTAAGCGTGCATAACGCAAGTTTTAGTTACAGCAAGATAAAAGACTGATGGCACATAGCAGGGGAGAGGAGAAACAAAAAAGCAAAAGAGGAATCTCGATCCTTCCGGCGCAAGGATTGCGATGCTAGTTCATTGTGTATTTTTTTCTTTACTTTTTCCCTTTGCTTTTACTTTTTGAGGCTTAGAGTGGATTGAATACCAGCAAAAGGATGTGCCCCCTTGCATTCTTAGCAGATTGAGAGAGGAATAGATAGAAACAGGGCGTGTTATACGAAAAAGTATGAATGAGCCTATCAAGAAGCATATATAAACAAAATAGACTCATGTCCAATCTTGGGTAAACAACCGCTCCTAAAAAAAGAAACCGCACACACCAACCGTTAAAAAGGGGAACAAAGGAGCAAAATATGCCTACTTCCAACGTTTCATCTGCATGTGCATGTGGCTTTTTCTGTTGCTCCTTTCTTTTCTTTTCTTTTTTTTGTTCAAAGCAACGACGCGTCCAACACGCCCGCACGGACGCGCCTTTGCGCTCGCTTGGGGAAAAGGGGGGGGGGCGTGCGTGTATGTGCGAAAGAGAGTGTGCCCGTCCTATTGTTTGCTGGTGTGGGCGGAAGGATTTACGTTTAGAGTTGAGTGAAGGAAGGGAAGTTGGTGGCTGAGTGAATGGATGCATATGAATAATGAGACGAATAAATGGGTGCTGCATTCAAGTATATCACACTACATAACATACGCAAGGATTAATAAAATTGAGTAACATAATAGGATAGGTAGTAACATATGAGAAAGTGTAAAGATGGGAAGAAAGGTTGGTTAATATCTTCCTTAGATGGGATTGGTCCGTTCAACGCCGGAAAGGATCACGTAGATGGTGTGTATAGGTGCTGGAATCGGCAAGGTGCGCCAACAAGGTATTGGCAAACAGGTGAGTTGTGATATGTTTGAACGGTAGTTGTGATGGATGGCCTCTGAATAGCATCACTCATGTGCAAGGCTAGCACTAATAACGACGCCAGCGACACTGGAGTTAATGCATTTTGCCAAAGCAAGCAATGCTATAGCTATAGCTGGACAGCCCTGTTAAGATCTCGGCTCTACTGGTAGCTGGCGAATGAACCAGCGAGCAGCAAAGACCAACCTTGTCATCAGTATCCAGTTAGATGAGGAACATCTTTTTTTTTTTTACACCAGTTAACACATCTTTGATGCCATGATCGATGCATCCAGACACATCTCACATCTCCATGTGCAATCTTGACGACACTGTAACAATGGCAAAGACAGTCTGCCCAAATGCGTGTCCTCTCAGACCTCATATTTTTTTCTCTATCAACATACATTTGTTAACCCCGAGGCATATAGCTGATGTCGAGAGATACATCAAACATCATGGCCAAGTAAGTGACCGATAACCATAGAGCACCTTCTTCCGTGTCCTTATGTGATATACGTTCAAACCATTAAAATAAAAAGAAAAGGGTTAATAGAAATGAGCAAAAACAAAAGCAAGAAAATATCCGTCCACAACAAAAACCAAATAACCGGTGACTACGCAAGGATGCGAGTCAATGTCTAATTGAAACCAATCCTGTCCTCTATCAAACGCCGTTTGAGTGCATTGGGCCGTTCACGTTTTTGTATCATGCGATCCAGGACATGGCGCATTCATGTTAAACTCTGCTGAGAGTTGCACTTGTCCGGTCACAGCGTGGGTATGCGCGCAGGTCTTCTTGTGCCTTACCACCGACGGTTGCCCAGTGGGTAGTTGTTGGAGTTGGCTGATAGACCGTGGTCAGCTCCTAGAGGGTGCTTTTCTGGCGCAATTTACCAGCGACGATACCCACCTCTACCGCCTCCACGGCCACGGTAACCGCCATAGCCGCGGCCGCCACCACCACCGTAGCGGGTCATCTCAGCCAGACGAGGGTCGATCTGTTGCTTGGCCTCCTGGAGCACGTTGACGAGATCACGAGCCTGCTTCTGGTCTATTTTCGCAACATGATTAGTACTTCTCCCATTAAAAAGATAGCCAGATTGAAACTTACTGTCAGTGGTGAAGAGCGTAATGGCAGTTCCGTTCTGGCCAGCACGGCCGGTACGACCAATACGATGGATGTAATCCTCCGAGTTGTTAGGGTAGTCGTAGTTCAACACATGAGTGATGTTGCGAACATCTTTGGATTACAAAAAAAAAGAAAGGGTTAGCAAACGAAATACGGGTATGTATAGCAACCTCCAGCGCGGGAACGTGAAGAGACGGCGTAATTATATAATAACGTCCATCTGTGCAACTTCACTCCTTGGTAGACCAGGGCCAAATCCAAGTGCGTTCAAAATGCCATCCATCCTCCTTTGGGGGGACATATTATGTGATCACAGGAGTCCTCAAAGGGATTTTCAAGGAGCCTTGGGGAGACAGCTTGATCGGGGTCAAGAGATGCCAACCTCCACCCTTTGTACCACGGAAGTGAGCAAGGTACAAGAATGGAAATACGAGTATAGCAGTGCGATGGGAAAGCTACACAACGGATCAAGACTCCACCACATAATGGGAACCATACGGATACCGTCTGGTCAGGCAGTTTCGCACAATAAAGATAGCCCCTAAACGCGAGAGTAAAGTATACAGCAAGTGCTTTTGCTGGAAGTTGCTGGAGAAGGGGGGAGAAGGGGACTGATACATACCGATACCACGGGATGCCACGTCGGTAGCAACCATGATAGGGCTCTTTCCGGTCTTGAACTGGTCAAGGACCCAGTCTCGCTCGTTTTGCTGCTTGTCTCCGTGGATTGCTAGAAGGGTATTAGCTGACATTGTACTTGTATCATATTTTGAGACAAAATCTTGTCTGCGTAAGTTGACTTACAGAGAGCGGGCCAGCCGTCCTGGCGAAGGAATCGGGTAATCTCGTCGGCGATACGCTTGGTACCAACAAAGATGAGGATCTTGTTCTCCTTGTTCTCCATGACCTTTTCCAGATGCTTAATCATACGGTCTCTCTTCTCCATTTCGGTAACAACCTCCACAATCTGGGTAATTCTGTGGTTGGCAGCGAGTTCCATGGAACCAATGTTGACCTGGATAAAGTCTTGTAAGAAGTCGGAAGCGAGGGCACGGACTTCCTTGGGCCATGTAGCGGACCACATGAGAGTCTGTCGGTCAGGTCGAATCTGCTCGATAATCTTGCGAATTTGGGGCTCGAAACCCATGTCCAGCATGCGATCAGCCTCGTCGAGGACCAAGTAAGTTACACGGCGAAGGTTGGTCTTGCCAGCCTCGAGCATGTCGATGAGACGGCCAGGAGTGGCAATGCAGACCTCAACACCACGGGAGAGGTCACGAATCTGGGGGCCCTTGGGGACACCACCGTAGACACAAGTGTTGCGGATGCGTGATGAGCGACCGAACTTTGAGATTTCCTGCTGAATCTGGACAGCAAGCTCACGGGTGGGGGCCAAGATCAGAACGATAGGGCCATCACCAGGGGCGAGAAGGGGCTGGGCGTTGATGTGAACAATGGCGGGAAGACAGTATGTGAGAGTCTTTCCGGAACCAGTTTCGGCAATACCAACAACATCACGTCCAGAAAGAGCCATGGGCCATCCTTGAGACTGAATGGCGGTAGGAGCAGGGAAGCCCTGAGCCTTGACCTCATCCATGACGTAGCGAGGGAATCCAGCCTCGTCAAAGGTCTCGACGGGCTTGGGAACATCTGAGCCGGCGATGGTCATCTGGTGTTTGCGACGGAACGCCTCGACTTCGGCAGCGTCGCGAGCGGCGACATCAGGAGACTCCTTGTAGAAATCCTTTTCGAACTTGGGAAGAGTGGAAAGATCTGGTAACTCAAAGTTAGCGAGATGTTGCCAAGGAAATAAGAGAAAAAAACAAAGGTCGGTGAGAACACAGAGAAAGACATACCCCATTCTTGTCTTTGCAGACCAGCGCCGAGGTGGCCCATTCGGTCACCACCACCGCCTCCGTAGCCACCGCCGTAGCCACCACCACCACCACCACCTCCTCCGAATCCGCCGTGTCCATTGCCAAATCCACCACGGCTATGCAAAGCGATGTTAGCATTTGGCTGCCTCCAATAGAGAGAAGAGAGTATTGTTGATTGAGTCGCAGAAAGCAAGTCTTCCAACCGACAAGCGTGTGCTGCGGAGGAACCTGAGTCCCTGCCGTTGCACACCCTTGCGATACAAAGATAGGGATGAGATCAGAATTAGGTAGCCAAACTTACCCTCCGCCATATCCACCGCCTCCATGGCCGTTGCGGTCGCCGCCGCGATCACCTCGATCACCGCGATCACGACCGTAACCACCACCGCCGCCTCCGTAACCGCCGCCGTTGGATCGACCGCCGCCGTAGCCAGACATCCTGTCGATGATGTTGGTGTGGTTGTGGAAAAAAAGGGTCTCTGGACAAAGAAATAGGGAAGACACGGTTGTCAGGGCAATACTCGAGGGATCAACAGGCGAGCAGAGAGAATGAAACGCGTCAGGAAGACCGAGGACGAATAGTCCTGATGGGTAGTCTCTGATGTGCGATGAATGTGGGAATGAATGAAAGAGAGAGAAGAGGCCAGGGATTGGCGTCTGAAGAGTTTGTTGAAGAGAAAGAAATCGGAAAGCAGGGGGATTCGGTCTGCGCCTAAGATATTTTTTTTCTTACCGGCAGTTTTTTTTTTTGGCGCTAAGAAAATCTGGATAGCGCCTGCCGGTACGTACCGCGCGTGGCGAACGCTGAGCACATCACGTGCCGGCCACTCCGCTGCTACCCTAGATCGATCTAGCTGCTTCTAATTGTACTTTTTGCCTCTCAATTGGATAATTCCAAACGTATTAACATGCCGGGAAACACAAAGTTACACACTAGTACTGAATAGATAGTTGTTTGATGGACGTTGTGATTGAAAGACTCATTGAAGTTTACTGAATAGCCACCCACCCCGTAACTCAAACAAATATTCTTCGAACACTAGGCTAAATGCTGCCCCACAGACGTCGACATCATTATCGCCCACGCCGAGTATCTAAGCCAAGTGCCGTCGTACAACAGCCACCCAAGCCCAAAAGAAAAGAAAGAAAATCATCGCAGCTTTCCATTGTCTAGACTGTAGCTTGGCTCTTTACCAGCCAGATTAAATGACACTTCGTCATGATTAGTCAATCGCACCTAAAGGGAATGAGAACTATTGCAGCTAGTATCACTTCTTTATCTGCCGAACAGCATCTCAGCTGCTGTCAGGATGTATACGTGTACACACGGTGCATGAATTTTCGCTATGTCGAAAAGCCGCCCGGACGCCGCTCGGAGTCGGGGACTCGGTAGTCACTGAAGCAATGATTAGTGTTTACTTTGAGGCTTCTCTACAGCGTCCATAGTAGCATCTCATCCTTGACATTGTAGCGCAGTTCTCGCTGAATGTGTTGAGCCCAAAACCAGCTGATACTCAAACACCCATAAAGGCATCATCTGGTGCAGCAATTCATCTAGGTCCTATATTACCCGCTTCACGTCCATAAATCCTGTTTAGGTTGCAGAGTGAATTGGGCCAGCGTTAAGCAAGGCGCCTCCCATACTCTTATCAACTACAAAATTGGTTGAACTATTTTTATTTTTAACTTTTTTTTACTAGTAGTAATAATGCTAAAGACTGGCTAGAAGTAACTGTCGAGTTGTTGTTGTGGTCATTCTGTACCCATATTGCCATTATCCATTCAGTAGATATCATAACATAGTCACACATCTTCAATCCATACGTACAGAATACGTGTAGTCATAACTTCATAAAAGTATCCTTCAATCATCATCATCGTATCGGCAACGGGCCATGCTGTCGATTGCGGTGCCCCGACGAAACTCCCGCAAACCCCCCACTCGTCTTCAACATCCTCCCCCAGTTCTTCCTCGTCAAAAGATCATTCAGCTCCTTTACTAGGCAGCACGCCGCCACCACTCGAAAGCTCTCTAGCTTTGGTTCATCCTGACGATGATTCTTGTCATGAGTCTTGTCGTTGCCCACAATCATACATGCCCAAGACAATTCTATCGCATTCATTGCCTTCCTTTCGCCTATTTCATCGTCGTCGCTCATTACGGATACGGCGTCATCTGCATTAGTGGCCACTCCGCTGCGATCACTGATGAGTTTCACCATGTGGCTCATGACATTATCCATTTCGTCTTTCAGCTTGATAGACGAGTCCCGCTCTCGCCTAGTCTGGCTGCCCTTGGGATTCAAGATAGAACCGCAGAAAGCTTCCACTTCTGTAATGGGAACGCGGGGGTTGGACGAAAACTGCCACATATTGTTGGAGATGGACGATTCGTACCTATTTGTGCGCAAGTTAGTCACTTTATCTGTGAAATGAAGCCACAGGAGTCTTACAGATCGCGAATTTTCCACGCATGGTCAATCTGACGCCTATAGTCAATATCCAACGTGGAATAGCCTTCTTCCCACAAGGCATTCCACACATGGGTGCTTAGTTGATCCCACAGCGGCGGCCCGCTCATGTCAACGGGACGCTGGACATCATTGGCCCAGATCTTCTTCTCGTCCACGCCGCGGTACAATTCGCCTAATATCTTTAATGACTTGTAGTATTTATGCTTGGCCATTCCCATTCCGTCATCCTCATCTTCATCTTCATTTGGATCTCCAATGTGGTCAATCTCACCACGATCAAATAAACGAGTCGGAGGTGCAGGGGCGAGACTGATTGGGAAAAAAAAAACAGTTAGTACTAGGCAGATAAGGTAACTGAGGTTGAGAGAAGTAGAAAATGCAAACTCACAAATCCGGCCGCATCCGTGGTGGCTTTGGCATGTCTTGATACCTGACTGCAATACCCGTCTTGGAGTAATCGACCGCAGTCGAATGCATCTCCGCAAGGTTGACACAGTCTGCGCTTAGCGTTCCCTCGTCGCGGTAATCAGCCAGCATCTGATGCCTGTTGGCAATTATGCCTAAGATGTCTGCTTCCATAAATTTGACAAAAAAATCGGCAATATCATCGCGCGTCACAGCTCGATCCAGTTCCGGCGGCTTGACTCTTGGGTAATCTGCGGGGCCAAAATATTGTTTGGGGATCATGTAGCGATCCCAAAAGACGTTGTACAAGTCTCCATCAAGATCCCCTCCGCTTAACTGGCTTGGCAAATCGCGGCTCCCTTTCTGGCTGAAGACGATACAGTTCTTTAAATTGCGAAGCGGATGCCCCTGTGGTGGTGTCCTCATCTGCGCAAGTTGAATATCTCCAGGGTGAAGCGCGGGCGAGCGAGTCACGAGGACAGTCCCATCTTGGAGTGATCGTTTGACTCGACCCTGCATATTGTCATGGCTTTCATCAAAGGTAACGTAAATCTGACCCTCTTCTAGGAAGCCCGTTTCATCCATAATGCCAAAGAGAGTGACTCCCATGTCCACGGGAATCCGGGCCTTGTGCTTCAACAGACGCAGCTCTCGCAAGATGGTATGATCTACGACCATTTTCATAAACCTTTCTCGTCGATAATCGATTCCAATTGTACTGAGGTATCTTATGAGCCTGGGAAGACCCGCAGTGGTACCAACCATCTGATTCTTCAAAAAAGTGCTAGTGTTTGCCGCTGTGGTGGTGACGTTTCGTAGTACGTTGAGTGCTTTGTTCTGCTGATCAATAAACCACTCAGAATTTGTTCCCATGTCCTCTAGAATCTTGATGTTTTGGCGATTCAAGAATGTGCGCATCGGCTTGGAGGCCGTATCGCAGATGCCCATTTCCGTCTGATCTTTGCTGGGAAACTTCATCATGGATTCTTTCCGCACACAAATGACTTTTCCATTCAAACGAGAGTCAAGCGAAAGCATGCCCTTGATCCCTCCTAGGCGAACCTGAACACAGGTGGCTTCCGACGAGGCTTTCGGGAGATGATCCCATACCTCCTCCATGGCATCCCATGAGATGGTTCCGACGCCGTCGCTAAAAACTCGCTTGCCATCTGCAGTCTTTACATCGTCAATGTACTCGATATTGATGCCACATTTTAAGATTGGCACAGCATACGGAGTCTCGGAAAAAGCTTGGCCAATGCGCGCTGCACATTTTGCGGCAATGCGAATATCGCTAAAGTCGCCGAGCGATTTGATGATGGTATCGTTATTCTGAAGATTCATTGAATCGTCAACAAAGGCTGCAACAAACCATGCAGAATGTGAACGCAAAGATGAATGAGAAAAACCCAAGAACTCAAATTTCCGACCGGCAACCTGGATTCCGTCCTTGAGGATCTTTCTGTATCGCTCAAAAATTATGGTGTTCTTCACGTTCGAGGTCAGGGCCAAGTCCTGACCATCTTCATCCCCAAATATGACTCGCATAAAGTAATCCGAATGATTTGGGAACATTCGCAAGACTCTGTTCCTGCTCTCGGCGTCCGGACCATGCAGCGTAATGCGAGTTGGAGTGACCATTGCTTTCAAAATCCAAGCTTGATGTCTAGGTAGTTGTGCACCGTAGTGTAAGGTTCGATTTGGGTCTTCGTTACGGAGAGCCCGTTCAGCTTCGACAACGATGGAAGCCAGCTCTCCCTCAAAAAGGTCTTGCGGCTCAGTTCCAGGACATGGATATGGAATCTTTTGATACAGTTGTTTCATGGCATCGGTAGTGAATGGTAGTGGAGTGCCCGACCTCTTGCAGTCTCTGGCGACTGAAGTCATGAGATGAAGCAATTTGGTCGCAATGGCTGGATGTAAGTAGTTGTTCCACACTAATGCCTGGAGCTGGAACAGGATAGCAAATGGCAGCAATCTTATTCTCCCTGAACCAGCACTCCCAATAGAGCCCTCGAACCTACTCATACTAGTAGTGTAATCTTGGTCAAAGGGCTTAGGGTTCCTCAGTACAGGCAAATTTTGTTTTGTGACAGCAATGACATTTCGAGACTTGAGAGATTCGAGGGTTTCCACGTAGTGTGAAGCGAGCGTTATCTGGTAGACCAGACAATGAGATACATATTTATCGTGAGCAGGCCATATGCTTATATGCGTTTGCCGTTCCCATTTCGTAAAATGTGGAGCATACCCAGGCTGTGTTGGCGTGGTTGCCTGCATCTCGTAAAGTCTAGGAGTCTCGGATAAGACGAAAGTTAACGAGTTATCAGATGCTCCGGCTATGAGATCCTGAATAGTGTCATAGGCAATGTCGACTCGGAATTCCTGCCCGAGTGTGAGTATCAAGGCGCGACGGCCAAACTTTGCAACGCCTTTGACATTGCTACTGCTCTGCTGGACAAACATTAGAGTATCAGATTCATCTGCGAATATGTTTTTGCCGCAAGAGATGCCACGGATAGGCGTACTGATGGTTGAGTTGTTGTTGCTGTTGCTGTTGCTGTTGCTGTTGCTGCCGCTGTTGTTTGAGTCTTTTGACACCTTTTTGCTGAGCTCCTCAGCCAATTCTTTCCGCCGGTCCTTCTGATACTCTAGCGCCTGAAGCGTATATTTATCGACAGCTCTCTTGCTCTTCTGGACATAAATAGGAGTTTTGAGTATGTGTAGTCTTGCCACGCCCTTGGCTTTGGACTGAGATGACCTCCTGTCATTTTGCAATGTTCTTGGCTGCGTCGGAACACTGACACTCTCGTGCTTTTGGAGAAATCTCTTCCCCTCAGCTTCGGAGACAAAACAGATCCAGGCATGAGGCTTTGTATTGGGTTTATCGCAAAGCCAATCGACAATACCCAAGACTCGGGTGTGTGGTTCAAGCTCAGTCCTGAGCCTGTCATCGGACAGATGAGCGGGCACATTGGTCAGGAACAGCTCCATTGCGACGTTTCCCAGAAACGCTGTGACAGGATATATTTTGGGGTTGCCCAGAGGACAAAAGAGAGGAATGCCCTGGAGAGCAAAAGAAAAGAAAATTGAGAGGGGGAAGCGGCTATTTCCCTCTCTTTTATCAATGCCCAGTCGTACCACCTCAACCAGCCAGCAGCCGACACTAAGGTGGGAGGCCAGCCAAGCTCGCAGAGGATGAGAACGGACTGCGGCATCAATTCGTTACAGCCTTGAGCTTGAGGCGCGTGATAGCGTCAATTGAGGGGTTGATCCGGGCTCATCCCACGCGCTTGCTCCACCACGGCGCCATTGGCCCAGGCCAGCGAACCACCGCAGCAGCGGCCCGAGGTGTGGTTGCATACAGCAAACGGGGATTTATACGTCAAACATCGTTGGCCGAGAGGGTCGATGGTGAGCGCTGAGTGGTAAGTTGTGGTCCAAGTGGTGAGTGATTAGAGGCCCAGAATGCTGCCCGCTCGAGGTCTTTGCGGTGGCAGTTGATGGTGGGTGGCCGCGGGATGCGGCCGTCATAGGCGAGGCAGACGAAAGAGGCTGCCTAATCGCCGAGACTGGTGATACCGCGCCATGCTGCGGCCGTGTGTCTTCTCGAGATAAGGCGAAGCTGAAGGATTGGTGCAACGATGCCGAGATGTTTGCTGCGTCGTCTTGAAATGAAGAGGAAAAGAGTCAAGACGTTAGTGGTTCAGGCCTAGTGAAATGTCAGTCTAAATTCAGGGACCCTTTGACACTTTTCGACGGCGTTTGGCAGGTGCTCCATAATACCAGCTCCAGAATCCACGTGGGGGGGCTCCAGCTCCGACTCCAATTGCCGAGACATCGCGGGGTTCCTTATTCGAGCGCCACATCTCACTCTCTGTCACCGAAAGCTAAATATTTATCCGGACGAAATGTCTCGCTTCAGAAATGGTTCTCTTAGCGAAATCATCATCTCTCTATATTTCTATATAATAGACAGATAAGGCTTGCTTCGTTTCTCTCTTCTTCTCTTCTATTTCACAGCGGAATCAGCTCCAGCAAGGCAAACACCACCCCGCAATGGCTCCCCCCGGCAACCTCTACGTCACGATGCAGCCTCGGCCAGGCCTCTCGCTCGACCAGTTCCACGAATGGTACAACAACGAACACGGCCCAACGCGGCTGCGGCTGCCGCAGATCTTCGCCAATGGCCTGCGCTATCGAGCTGCCGACGGCCAGCAGCCCGAGTTCCTCGCGACCTACGATGTCACCGACATGGCGCATCTCGAGACCGAGACGTACCTGACGCTGCGCGCGAATCGATCTCCGAGAGAGGCTGCGACTATTGGCCAGGTAGACGTCTCGCGATACTTTTACGACCTTGTACATGTCGAGGAATCGCCCCTCTTTATGCCGGTCGAGAAGTTGACGGACGAAGAAGCAGAGGGCCTCGTAGCTGTAACCACCGAAATTACCCTCAAAGACACGCCTGAAGCACAGGGCCTGTTCAAGAAATGGTTCATCGAAGAGCACATTCCCTTTCTGTCCAAGATTCCCGGCTGGCTAAGAAGTCGTCTCTTTGTAACTTCAAGCCTCGAACCAGACCTGCCCACTAAATTCTTGACCTATCACGACTTTGCTAGAGACAATGGATTGCAGGCTGCAGAGCAGAAAGCTGCCACCGATGGCTCCTGGAAGAACGACGACTTCGACAACTCCGTCGCATCCAGAAAGAGGCGCATGTACTCTCTCTTCTACACCTTTGACCCTGCTCCAAGAGATCTCGACCACCTATCGAGGCTCCCCACAGCAGCGTCCTTCACTTCGGCAGACTCCAAGACATCTACAATAGCCGGGCCAACTCCCATTCTCACATCATACATCACCACTCCAGACTCTCTCACCATTCCCTATCGCTTAGAAGGCAATCCCTCGCCAACAGCGCCCACAGTCGCCTTCTGCAACTCCCTCCTCACCTCTCTTCACATGTGGGACGCCTTCGTCGACATCCTCAAGCTCAATCGCCCAGACCTCCGCATCCTGCGCTACGACACCCGCGGCCGACACGCCATCCCACAACCTCCCACCTCGGCAACGCTTCACACTCTCGCCGACGATCTTCTCACCATTCTAGACGCCCTCCGCATCCCAAAACTGTATGCCCTCATCGGCGTTTCCATGGGCGGCGCCACATCCCTCAACTTCACCCTCAAATATCCTTCTCGCCTGGGCAAACTCATCGCCTGCGACTTCAACGCCGCGTCCTCTCCCGCAAACTCTCAGGCATGGAAAGACCGCGTCGCCATCGCCGAGCAGGACTCCGGCCGCGGCATCCACCAGCTCGCCGAACGGACCATTGCCCGCTGGTTCCACCCGGCGTCCATGGAAAAGCCGGAGCTTGTCAAACGAATGACGGAAATGGTCACTGAAAACAACGTAGAGGGGTTCAAGCATAGCTGCACCGCCCTCTCGGACTATGACATGAAGCCTGATATGCCGTCTTGCTCCGTCCCAGGACTATTTGTAGTTGGAGATGGCGATGCCAATGGAGTGCTGGTCAAAGCAATGGAAGGGTTTACGGGCCTTTTCGGACCAAACGGCACTGAGCTCAAAATAGTTCCCAACACGGGGCATTTGCCCATGTCTGAAGACCCGGAAGCATTTTGGGAAGCTGTAAAGGAATTTTTATAATGATATAAATAGTATTTTTCCATAAAAGATGTCATAGACGCATTATCACTCAGACTACCCTTGTATTTTGGAAAAGTTGTAATTCAACTGTTCAAATCTAGTAACAATATTAGCCGTTCATTTCTTAGGGTATTTGTTTTCTCAATCTCGTAATCGTACAGCTCGCACCCCTTTTTCGTCATTTCTCTCTCCTTGTTTTTTCTTTTTGTGTAATTGACAATGCAGAAGAAGCAAACCTGTATTCCTTTTTGCGCCTTTGTCCTCTAAGCTCCATTCCATCCCGTGATATGACCATCCAATCTGACAAAAGAAAATCCTCCGTCTCCGAATCTCCAATCCGATCCTCATTACGACTGCCTCCAATCAACTGAAAAGGTAAAGTCCATTGAGTTGTTTGGATTGCCAAATACAAACGGCACATTGGCTGTAAATGTTGCCGAGTTCATCAGCTGCGCATTCCGAGACTTCTGGCGCAGGACTCGCCGCCGATTTCGACGCAGCGCTTGCTCTTCGTAAAGCATACGCTTGTTACGGCCCTTTGGAGCTGGAGGCGTGGGCGGCGCCTTGAGTGACAGCGGAGGGACGATATCCCACTCGCAGGCCAGAACGCCGAACCGCACCTTTTCCGGGTTCTTGTGGCGGCTTAATTGGCTTGCCTTGGCATAACGGACGAATCTGTCCTGTAGCCACGTCTGCATCTTGGTGACTTGCGGCTTTACGTTCCAGTGCTCGTCATTCGCCTCGTAGAACGTTCGGTTGCCGCACTTATACTTGCGCGTAGGCAACTTGCCTATCATGCACCTCTACGTATAAGAGAGAAAGAAACCTACAGTTTTCACACCAGGAATGGGACTTACCAGGACTGGCACTTGACTGTGCTGATTTGCGCAGAAGGAAATAGTCGACAAAGTAAAACTCTTCCACGTTGGGCAAATGCCTCGCTAGGAAATGGTACAAGTGAATCGGATAGATGACGCCGCCAGTCGTATCGTGGACCAGCCCACAAAGCGAGCAAACCGTCGGCAGCGGCTTTTCCTGCCACTGATGGCAGTAACGCACTGCCACTCGCTTTATGTTGTCCAAGCTGGGGCAATTGGGATCGATATCGTAGCCGCAGCCGCTTTCAAAGAGCTCGGGAGGGAAATATTCGAGAAAAATGATGTCAGACGAACCCCCCAAGGTAACCAGCTTACCGTTGCTCAGCTTCAGGGCGCCTTGTTTGGCCATCAAGCTGTCGGCCACGGCCTTTGACTCTTGGCAGATTGTGGCGAGAGCCGCCATCTGCTTGTTGAGGTCATGGTAGCTGGAGATGTCGGATTTCTGGTTTGTTGATACGGGCACTAGGCGAGTGTCCCACAGGCGTTTGGGCGTCACTTCATTCTTGACCTCGTGTGCTATCTCGTCGAAGTCGTCGTCCTTTTCGGGATTCTGCTGCTGCGTGATCAACTGCGCCAGCCTGTTCAACGATATCCATCTCCAATGGCGGCCCCGGCTCTCCAGCTTCACAAAATGCATCCCCGGCGTCGAAACGGATTCATGCCATATCTGCTGGCGGATTTCAGGCGGAAAGCGGTTGAAAGGCAGAAACGTTCGGTACTCGTCGGGAATCTCGAATCTGATGGGTTCGGCGCTCATCGTGCTGAGCAGGGGTCGGGAATATGCGGCAGGAGATGACGCTGGTGGGTGATGAAGCCTCGACGCAAAAGCACAAGAAAAAAAAATTATATAGGAGAGTAGAACAGAGCTGTGAATGAGAAATGTTTTGCAACAGCCAGCAGAGAATCACAGAGTCAAGTTGCGTAGTTTACTTGGAAGTTTGTAGGATGGAGAGTAGAGCTAATGCTTTCTTGCATGCCAGAGCTGCCCAACGCAGTTCCTGGGGGACCTTTTTTGGGTAGGAAAAAGTTGAGTGTTTTAAATAGTCCCTCCGCTGGTGACGTACTAAAAAGCTGCATGTGCGTCTGCGTTGAGAGGCTTTAGATCGGGGAATAAAAAAGTGAGCGGTTGCTTGCAGCGAGCGTGCAGCGAAAGACTGGAGTGTGGGAGGGGTGAGCTGTTGCTGACTGAGCTCGCTGCAGGTGCCGTTGGCTGAAATGACCGTGACGATGTTGGAACAAATGGTGGTAAATGCTTGGTGGAGGACGAGAGGGTTTGGGAGGGAGAAGAAGAGAAGAAGAGAAGAGGAGGAGGAGGAATAAAGTTAAGAAGAAATACACAAAGTTGGCCTTGCTGTGTGTCCGTGAATCAAGAAAGTACCTTGAAAGATCACGCTTCAGCTGTGCCTACCTAGGTACCTACAAACGCAAAGAGAGAAGGAGTCATTCGCACGCTTTTGGGCATCAACAGACGCCATGTGAACACCGAATTAGCGATTATTGATGCATCTGGACTGCTAAAGGCGCCATAGAGGGCCCAAGCCAGATACGTGCATGTCCAATATGGAGCGCTGTTGGTTGGGCATATATGTACAAGCCCGTATAAAGATTAGCGGGCGCTGCCTGCTATAATGAATCGCGCACTAACAGATAGACTCAGTACGTGGCGGTGCGATCCTTGGAGCTTCTTAACCAAGCTGGTGCATATTGAGACCCTCAAGGTCGATTTCAATGCTTTTACACTTTCGGTCTTGGAGCATCAAGCCATATAACTCGGATATGCTAGAAATCAAGGCTAGCACGTGTCCACAATGGCGAGATAAGAAAGCATCTAGGCGATTTCCTGCACCGGAGCCTTTTGCACACTATAGGCCGTCTAGGAGTATATCGCCATCTAAAAGCCTGTTATTGTACCTATTTAGTAATAGCTGCACAGTCTAAAATGCGAAAAATGAAGAATACTGACTACAATTGCGAGGATCCTGGCAGTCATGTTTACACGATGAAAGCCTGGGGAGATCGTGCGCACACTAAGCGCATATGTATTTCCGTTCGAGTGTGAAATCCGCTCATCGCACAGCGAATGCGAATACCTCTCTCAACCATGTGATGCATCGCGGCACACTCCGTCAACGCTATGCCTATTTTCCACAAGAATCAGTGCAGGGCTGCTTCCAAGGATCTGGTTCCTGTCTCAAGGTTGAATCTACAGCCACGGGAGCGGAGCGGGACGATGGATCGAGGCTGCGAGGGTCCTGAGGCGTGGATTTAATCGGGCAGAAGTGGAGTGTATATAGTGCACACGCAACTCTAATCCATGCACTTTGGTGCTCTCGTCATTTTGGGTTAATGTAGCTGCTAATCTCGTAGAGACGTCGAATTCATAGTAAAAATGTTTATTGCAGTTCAGGGAGCGGCTGGTTGCCAGGTCAGAGGTTTGAGAAAACATTGCATTGCGGATATGCCTAGCATAGACACGCAATTTGGACTGAGGTGGTAGCAACATCAGGTCTCCAGCACCAGGTGGCGATTTTAGCGGCTCAGTTGAGATGGAATAAAATGCCATTGCTTACGTGTTTAGCGAGAAGATAGATAGCGTGGGCGCAGGTAGGCGCCAAAATCGTCCTCTACCGATGGAGCATGTTATGACCCCCGGATTCTAGCCGGATAAGCTAGGGGCATGGAGAGTAGACTTATCTAGGCGCTCGCAGTATCCAAGGTCCACAGGGATGACTTGGACTATATTATCGTGCTTACTACCGGGGCGCCGCGAATCTGTCACTGAACTACACAGACAAAATACTTGGTTTGAAATAAAGAGCAGGTACCTACGTTTAGAGAGATATTTACGCCTACCTATTATATTGGTAGGTCGGTAGTTGTAAACGTTAATGGAGTAGATGAAAATGTATGTTGGAGAGTAAAAGCGAATAAAAGTGCTCTACTATCTGAATAAAGAAAGGTGATAAGGCACGAGGAAAGTGATATGGATACGGCCTTGGAAGTGCTTTATGGTGATGAGGCCACTGAGACGAGCCGGGTGAAGATGGAGTTCTTTTTGTACTCTCCTCCAAGCTCTTACAATTTCGCATGCTGTGTTTCTGATCTAGAAACTTCAACATAAAGCATCGGGCTAATCCTCTGTCTGTACCCAATGATAAGACTGATACATCAATGCATAATGCACGAAAGCAACAACAAAGAACGACACTCTTCTACTCGCCTTATCACAAGCGCCAAATGCGAGTGTTGTCTATTCCCCCATGAAACAAACCACTTACTGGCAGATTGGTAATCATATGAAAGCGTGGTTGCTCTCTGAGAATACCGACTACAATGTCGTTTTCGTAATCAGTTCTTTTCAATATGGGTTAGGAATGATTCCAGAGAGACCTTCAAGCTTCCAGAACTCTCACGCTACTCACTCTGCCGTCAAGTCAACGCATTGACCATACGCGGATTTTAGCCTCAACTCCGAGATTTCCTATTTCGGAATGTGTAGGTGGATACGGGGTTTGAGCTAACATGGGCATTAGTCAGAATCTCTTATTAAACTTCATACTGTAGCCAATGCCCACCACCATTGCCGCCTACTTATCCGGCACGAATATCTCCTTGGCAACTTTGAGGTTTTATTTTTTTTCAATTTAATGATCATTGCCAATCATGAGAGCAGTAGACAGTCGGTCCGCAAATGTGCCGCAGCTTCCGACGCGAATCCGTCGTTGGAGAAGCTACCAGCCAGCGTCGAATATCGTCTTTGAAAATGATTTGGGTCCAGACAACACATCGCAGACGCAATCAGCAAGGCCATTGAGAAAAGGCATTGAATTGGAATTCGTCAATATTGCACATCCTCTTGATGCCACCACCTCGACTACCATCTCCAACATTCGGTCACACGCAGCACGAGATATTCATGCTTCGCGTCGCGCGTCGGCCCTGCGGCTCAAGGGAGGCCAGAGGAAGATAAGAATGAAAGTAGATACTGGCGGAGGCTCTCATTTGAGTTTAGCTTCGCCAGTAAATATAACGATCCCCATACACAATGGTTTCCTTCATTGCTGTGCCCGGCCTATAACAAAGCTTGAGCAATTCCTTCTCGACTACTGTAAGTGACCATCGGATGAACCACTTAATGGATTTCATCCTTATGTACCACTAACTTACCATAGATGCAACATCAGTCATCCCAAACGCCGGAATGTGGTGTCCCCATGGTGACGAGGAGCTACTGTTCCGTCAAGGCGTGACGCAGCATTGGCTTCCCTTTATAATCACAGACAGTGGCTTGTTGGCCGGTATTTTCTTATCCTCATGTCGTAATCTCGCACTTCAAGGGAGCCAAGCACAAGCAGATTATGATTATCTTCAAATCGCAATGATGTACAAAGGCGAGTGTATCAGGTCTGTAAACGCGGCGATTGCCGCGGAAAGACCAATCGTTAGCGACGCTACAATTGCGAAAACTCTATTATTATGCGCGGATGAAGTGAGTATGCAGTGATTTCCCTACCAAAATTTGCAGAGTGACGATATCTAACAGTGCCATGGTGTAGTTTATGTGCAAAAATCTCAATGCTACAGTCTTGCATTTTGAAGGTATGAGCAAAATGATTAAGTTGAAGGGGGGTTTGCCAGCCCTCGGCGCTGGTGGGTTTTTGAGAAAGGCTATTGAATGGTGTAATTTGGAAAATATCCTAAAAAAATGAATTCAAGAGTTTTCATCACCCTAAATACCGAAATACCGTGGATAACATATGGCATGTTGAGTTTCTTGTACACTAGTTCTATAGGTAAGGTACCTAGGCAAGGTACCTAGGTAAAGTCACCGTAAATGTAGGTAGTGGCAGACTGGAGCTTTTCTTAGAAGCTTTCCCACATACGAAGGAAGCAAAAGTGATTAATGATCCAGCCCCCCCGCCTAGCGGGATGTGATAGTTGTCCACAACATGTTGGTATGAATTGAAAAGTGCATAATTGACATAGTCAGTTTACACTTTACCTGGCTTTTATCTTAGTTTCCTGCTCAACCATTCAGATAGACCAAGCCTTAGATGGACTTGTATCCTCCTCGACAAGTGAATGGTATCAAGAGAATGAATGACCTTAGGAGTACAATACCTACTAATAGGAACCAGAGGGTGGTGACGTGGTAACCGGGGCTGGCTTTGGATACGACTTAGGTCACTGTTAATGGTGGGTTGATCATGAGCAGGGCTGGGATCACTTGCAGGACCACAGCTCATGAGTGCGTGCCTGGCTAAACCCGCACGTTAGTGAGGGTAAAATTGATAAAAGATCTCTCGAAGTCAATAATACATATTCCGAAACAGAACGTATTTAAGATAAGATTGAAACCCTTCATCCCCTTTTGCCCCCTTTCATTTACCTTCACCGTTCATGTGATTGAATATTGGTTAGCAGAGCACCGCCTGTTACCGCCTCATGAGCATCTTTCCACAAGTCTTCTTCTGTTTCCAGTCCAGCTTCTGATGTGGCCGATCCCAGGATCACTAGGTCTCGTCTGGAGACCGCTATGACCCGCTTAGTGGATTACTGCGCAAATCTCTGGGTCAGGGAGTAGTCGTCTCCCCAGTCTTTGAATCTTTTTTCAAAGCTTCGTTTAGCATCACCTTCCACACTTTTGCATCTAGGTCGCGCTCAATCTTGTGATACAGCATCCTTCTGAACGGATGAAATTGAGCCCTTCCCCTGAAGCCGTTCCGCATAAGGATCTTGCTGGGAGCATTGATGTGAAGGTCGTAGTCGAATTGGTAGCAGACCCAGCGGAACTCTTTTGCCACTCGCTGGAGCTCTTTATCCAGCACCGTACTTCTGGGAGCCCATCGAATAATATCGGGGTTTTCCTTAGAAGGTGCATACGCAACATCGTGCGGGAAAGATGCGAACACCGTGGTTCCCGTTTTGAGAGGTATCCGAGGCTTGGGCTTTTGTTTGTATTTATCTCCGTCATCATGGGGCCCAGGTGGTTTGATCGTTTTCAGGTTGGTTGGCCCCTGAATCTCGGTACTGGAAGCTCCCTTGTTTTGATCAGGCTCGGATATCTCTTTCGGGGGGCTGATGTTGCGGAACGGGTGGCGAATGATTGTGAGTTGACCACCGTACGATCCGCCATCTCCGCCTGCTGCGGTGAGTAGGTCGCCCTCATGCGCAATTAGGTCTTGCCAGGCCTTTTCCCATCTGCAAAGACGCTTGTTGGTAAACATGTTTTCCTCGGTGTGGCATCAAATAGAGGGGGCAGTTTGGAGTTTCCAATTTCCCCATCAGTCACTTACCTGGTCATAACTGAGTTGGTTTCCGAGGTACCAAGGACGAAATTCGAATGGACCTGACTGCTGCCTGCTATACCTTCCTCCGTGGGATCTGGTTGAGGATCGGCAAGACCACCCCAAGAGTATGCAGATAGATGCAGCCACTAATTGTTTTAGAAGAGAAGGGAAAAGAAATGTCAGCTCTTGTGATAAAAATGAACAAGAGAGCGATGACGAGAGATGAGGAGAAAAGAGATGGTATAAAGGTTTGCTTACCTCGGCAATGTAAAGACCATTGAACATCTCGTTTGTTTTGTAAGCTGCCGACCGATTTTTTTTTATGATTTTTCCGATGATTTGATCTTCGGGATGAACCCACTGCCAGTTCAGTAGTTGTCTGGCCGTCTTTTTGTTGTGCAAATATTCTGTTAGTATACACTCTCACACGACAAGGAAGTTTCTCGCGTAGACTATCTTTCTCTGCGGGAACGAAGACATACAACTGGTGCGCTAGCGGCCATGACAGCTTTCTGGTCTCTACTCTCGGACTTGCGTTTGCCTTTTGCCAGTGTAATTTTCCGGGCATTGACACTCACAACGGTCAAGGTTTGGATGTCTCCGGACGACCGTTCATGGGCTTTCCTCCGGATGTCGCCTTTCTTGATGGCATCCCTACCCTTATTTCTGGGACCGTTCGTATCATTCTATAGAATACCGACTGTCAATATGTGATCGAGTAGAATTTTTTCCGCGAGAAGGGGTGAACTATGGGAAGGGGATATAGGAAGTGCTTGAGCTTACCTTGTCTCTATCCTTCATCGTTCTCTGGTTGATCCTCATACTGTTCAACGGGATGATCTTATCTTTTTTGTTTTGATTTCCGTTCTCAACCGCTTCGTCCTCTTCCACTTCTTCTGTTTTCTCCAATCTCCTGGGCTTCTTCAATCTCCTAGGAAGAGCACGAGTATCGATGATTTCCCTTGGAGGTTTATCTGTTTCAGTCTCCATGTTTTCGGGGACAGCATTAGTGTCTATGGTTTCCCTAAGGGATTCATCTGTTTCAGTCTCCATGTTTCCGGGGACAGCACTAGTGTCGATGGTTTCCCTGAGCGGTCTATATGTTTCGACCTGCTTCTCTATGGGGACAGCACCGAGCAGCAAGAAGTTCATATAGCGGTTATAGCCTTCGGAACTAATGTATGTTCTGTAAAGTCCAAATGGGTCTTCTGAAAGCTATATGGTTGGGAAAGATATAAATATTAGCCTTGGAATAGGAGTATTTGGATCATCACCATCCCACATTGGGTGACAAATTCAGAGACAAATGGAGAATAGGAAAATCGACTCACTAGACGGTAGTCGGACGGGATGCCATCTTCAGCGCAAAGAGATACCTTTGTGTCATCCGCTTTCAAATTCCTGTTGATTTCAGTGATGAAGGTCTCAAACAAAGCCTCAGCCCCGCCAGTGCGGCCCTGCCACCGCGCTTTGCCTTCAGCTGTTATCTTGATCTTCAGCTCACCCACAGGCACCGTTTGGTACCGCGGCGGTTTGCCTCCACTTGCCCTCGAGGGAGGTGTGATGGCACCCAGAGCAGCTCTCCACGCAATCTTGAGGCGGTTGGCTGCTTGGTAGCTGTACCAATTCCAGGAACTGTCGTGCAGGCAGAAGATAAGACGACCATTCCCGTCGCGAAGGGCCACCCAAAGAGATCCTTCTTGTCGCCTGAACGAAGCATTACTTCCTGAAGTATCTTCTTTAGTAAAAAGCTCGACACTTTTCGCGAACTTGAGGGGCCCGTTGTCTAATATCAAGCCGTCGCGAGGGGCGCCTCTCATGCTAGATGGAAAATAATAATAATTAGAATTTGGTATGAGGTTTAGGACAAGGAAGCGAGAGAGGAATCAAAGTTACCTGTCGAGCTTGAGCCATGGATGCTTCTCCTTTTTAGCTAGTGCATGCAAGAAAGCAATGGGAATGTAGACAATTTTTCCCTTGGTGAATTTGGGCATCGTCGGCCATCTGTTGCGATTCGAGGTGATTTCGGTAGAGCGATCGGTAATTTCGAGTACCTCTCCGCCATTCTCCAGATCTTCCTCCGCGATACCTTTCTTTTCCTCCGCGATATCAGCCACCCCAAAGATAGCTTCTTCTTCTTCTTCTTCTTCTTCTTCTATCTCATCTTTATTGCTATTGGTTTCGCCCACAAACTTTCTCACATTTTGTTTGGTTTCGTGCAGAACCTTTTTCATATTTTGTTCGGTTCCGTCCATGTAATAGGAGAAGAGATGAGCAATGCTCTGCCAAGTGACTTTGAGGTACAGTGAGGGATCAGCGTTCTCGGCCGTGCCAACGACAGTTGGCGCAAAAGGGCTCGGCATTGGATCGCCCCCTTGGATGCTTTGGACTGTGCAAGCGGCGATTCTGCATGTCTTACTAAGGTTATCGTTCACCGACCAATTGAGGACGCCTTTGGCGCTGGATCTGGTCCTTTCCTTCATCACAAGATTGTTTTGGAGATTTTTCATCTCGTTCGTCATTTTTGGCGATGGTTTCTTATCACTTCCAGAATTGGAGTTCTGAGATGCACCATTTGTTTTAGTGTTTCCACCTTGACTGTTGTTATCAAAGTTTTTTCCGTCCATGGTAACGAAGAAGCCTCAAGTGGCCAAGGGAATGCTTTGTCAGAAAGATTCAGAGGAAATGATAGGTATCCTAGGATGATAATAAGAAGCCTCAACCATTGGAGGGTGCTGCAAGTCAAGGGGTAGCCAACATATATGAACTGGAAAGATGAGGTGTCGCAAGGCAATGATAAAATTCAGGGCAAAAGCGCACATGTTAAATACTCCGTACATGTGCATTGCTACCTGTTGATCAGGCCGGCCTCGAGATCAGACAAGTCAAATGTGTGCCTGCCCCCCATTCCCTAATTACCAATCGTTGCGTCCACGTTTTCAGCATCAAGCCTAGACCCTCGAGGAACCAGCTGAAGTTCATGAAGGAACATTGGTATGTGATTCCCTACAGTGGCCACTGTGATATTGATTGCCAATTTTCAAGGACGTTAGTAGGCAGACTGTCAGGTTCAGCCTTCGATGGGGCGAGAAATAAACCCCTGCATTCAGCTCTAGCCAAAAGTCACCATTGACACGATTATTGGACAGTTCTGGCCAATCATGGGTTGAATCTCCTGGTTTACGCCCATAATTAGCCGCCGAACACTCGCATACGATAAGATGCCGTAGTGCATATCCCGCCCCCGGCATGGCCGCAAATCAGCCTTGGAACTTTTCCCCCATCAGGGCTGGAACGAACCATACGGCTGATGGTGGTGAGTCCCTTTCACGCCCCCGACAAACCCGGACATTTTCCGCAAGACGATCGATAGTTTGAACTCAGCTAAGCAAATTCGATGTCAATAGTTTCGGCCATGTCCGTCTCGCGCCCAATATATGGTCTCCCAATTCCGCATTGAGATGTCCCAGCCAGCCACGCTGGGGAGAACTGTTGCTGCCTTTAGAGGAGACGCAACCGTTAGAAACCGTGGCTTGTCGTAGGATCCATTCTAGACCATTACGAATCCCTCATTCAAAATGAAGAATGAAATGATTACCGGATTGGGAGGCAACGAATACTCCGCTGCTGGAATCGGATGTGATATGAGTTGAAATGTACAGTGTGGTTGGAGGCTATGTACCTCCATCTCGTAGACAAAGGAGCAGATTAGAAGTTTTAACCTGATGAACAATGCTTCATTACTCCTCTCCAATATTGAGCCATATTATATAAAGATACTCTATTGCTCTTCCTTACCCAGTATCCTCAAATATTCCCTCGCACATCTAGTTACCCGCATCATATAAGACACTTCTCCTCCTGTCTTGTATTCTCATATACTCCCTCGCATATTTACCTACATTCATTCTGCGCCTCCCTTGCTCTTATTAACTCTTCACTTCCTCTTGTGGGAACCCTGCCTTCTGCCATGGGCGCAACAACAGGCTCAGGGTCCAAGCGCCCTCGATCGCCTGTGTGTGAAGATGTCGATCCCAAGAGAGCTCGCTTCGCATCCTCAACCATAGACTTTCTCAAAGAGTCTGCTCTTGACTTCGCTCTTGAGGCCACCGGTCTCAAGCGCTCTCACTCTGCCTTCTTCAGCGAAGAAGATGGGAATGACTCGGCCACGAAGAAGTCAAGACAACAAGATGATCTCAGCAAAAATCCATCATGGAGCTATGCTGGCCTGACCGTCCACAATTCTGTCATTGCGACCATTGACGCGGATGGCAAGTTCGTCACGCTGGGTGCTGCAAGCCAGCACAACGTTACGTCCTCGTCCCTTACACCACCACGTTCCCCTAACGCTCAAGAGACGGAACAAGACCCAATTGCTCTCCAGGCTTTCAAAAGAAAGGCCGGGCTAGACGTTCTGTCTCCCCCAATCACACCTGCTGTCGGCACCGAGAGGAAGCCAGACCCTCTGGATCAATATGGTGTCACCCAAGATCCGTCTGTAGGTAGTGACATGGTCAAGGTTGCTCCTCCTCATTTTCCTCAGATGCCAGAGAATCATGTCATAATCGGAGACGTCGACCTCTTTGGCTGCATCCCTGCCAAGCTGCACATCTTCAGGGGACAAGTCACAAAACTTCATCCATACCAGGAGGTCGTCCAGCTTTCTGCAGGTCAGATTACCATTGGCTCTGTGCTCCCTCCCTTGAAGGATGGTCCATTTGACGCCATTGTTCTGGAAAATACTGAACTATGTTATTCGGTTGTTCCCTTGAATGTTTACGAGCTCGAAGGACTTTATCTCGAGACGGATCTCTTGTTCAAGGGTCCCCTCCAGCCGCTTCAAGATGTCATCCGAGATGTCTTCAATCAAGAGAGACCTGCTCTCCACGTCAGTGCCCATCTCGGCATGTCGAGGGATTGGATGATACCCTACGTCCCTCCCCGTCTTGTTCTCCGCGGCTCGTTTGACGATTGCTCTGTCAAGCTGTGGGATATTCTCGAGTTCACGCAGTTGGGCGTCGAATTGACTCTTGAGCAAGCCCGTGATGACGATGGCGAGATGAATATTGGCTATGGCTTCTTTGGAAAAGTTGACATGGCCATGCCCGGATCCGTTGTGCCGCTCAAGGCCGAGTATCTCTTCCGCGTGATGGATGAGCGCTATATGCTCTCTGTCACACTAAAAGATGATGATTGGAAGGATTGCTTTGGTATTAAAAACCTGACGGTAAGAGAAAACAGTCATTTCCCATAGCTTGAGTATCTGCTGACATATTGTTGCGCAGCTTTCCGAGGTCACATTCGTCGGCGTCTTGTCTGAGCCTTCGTCCAAGGCCGCTATCTTTCTCCAAATGGAGGCCGTTTTGCACCTGAATGACACCACATTGGCGATTTCGGGTTCTTACTCAAAAGGCAAGTTCTTCACTTACTGCATTGTGACAATGATAACGAGCTAACCATGTTTGCTAGATGAATACTCTATTGCGGCTTACCTGGGCAATCTTAATCTCCAAGAGGTCGGCAAGATCTTCAACCAAATCACCGGCCATGATCTCGACGTATTCGATCATGACGTTGTCTTCAACTCTCTCTCTCTGGTCATCTCCAACTCGGGAGTCGCCTTTGCCGGTGCCATTACGATCAATGGCCACTCCACGGCCTATGGTTCAATTGCCATCATGCAGGACGGCCTGCAAATCACCGGTGGCATTGGGGACGTAGAGTTTGAGTCCATCCAGATCAAACGTGCCAGCTTCGACGTCTTCATCAGCAGTAGCAGCAACAACTCGTCGTCCGCCAGAACAACAAAGTTCGGCATCTCGGGAGAGGTGTCCTTCAGCGGCATTGACCTGAGCGTTGGGCTCTTCACCGAGAAGGCGACGGGCTCTGAACTGCAGTGGACCATCTACGGTGAGGTTGCTGGGGATCTGAGCATCGGTAATCTTGATCCAGACTTGAAGGGCTCATTCCTGGATGTCTCCCTCAAGGGACTTGCGCTCATTGCGTCCAACAAAGAGGACCCCGATGGTCCTTACAACAAGTTCAGATACCCCGTCCGCAAGGGCATCCAATTCTGTGCTGTGGTTGATAGAATCCCCCAGCTGGAGGATCTCATGCGAGGCAGCGTCAAGGGCATGATCCTCTGCGCCAGCTATGAGACCGGCACCGATAACCTGCGGCTGTCTGTCATTCTTCCTGCAGAGCGCACAATCTCCTTTGGAGAGCACGTGTACACTGGTCCTATTGCCATTGAGTTCGCCAAAGAAGGAACCGACATTGTGCTGATCGTCAAGGCTCTGCTCAACGTCAATGTAGACACTCAGCCTGAGCCGCTCAAGTTCTCTCTCGGTCTCAAAGCCGGCACCACCGGGGCAGCTGCCTACGCCACGATGCTCAACGAATGGGTCAACCCAGCCAAGATGGGTAAGGAGATCAAGATTAAAGGTTGCTCTCTCGAATTTGGCATCGTCTATGCCACTTTCTTCACGACCGGCGTGCCTGGTGCCATTGGCTTCGCAGGACAGCTCATGCTTGGCCAGAAGGAGGCAAAGCTGGCCATGAAGCTTAGCCAGAATCCCAAGGATCAGGTGCTTGCCGCAGCTGTCACCGACCTTGGGGTCGTTGATCTGGTTCAGTTCGCTTCCAAGGTCTGCGAGATAGACTTCCCCGAGCCGCCCAAGGATCTATTGCATTTCAACAAATTCGACTTGTATCTGTCTACCGGAGCTTCTATTGGAGAGATCTATTTCCCTGCCGGAGCCTCTCTCAGCGGAGACATGCTGATCCTGGGCAAGAAGGCTAAGTTTGATTGCACCGTTGGTGGTAAGGGCGTCAAGCTTATGGCTACAATCGAGCACTTTGATCTCGGCCCTCTGAAAGTCAAGGGAGCGACAGGTGAGGACCCCATTGTCGATATCGAGCTCTCGGCCGACAAGCAACGGATCTTCATCGACGGTGCCGTGGAGCTCTGGGATCTATCTGCAGCGCTGCATCTTGAAACCCAAGCGTATCCCACGCCGGCCTTTGACTTCTGGGTCAAGGTTGAGCTCTCCGATTGGTTCAAGTTCAACCTCGCTGCCCAGCTGACGGGCGATATCGACTTCAAGGATCTGAGCACGCTCGCAAACTCTGACTTTGCCGTCTCGGGCGAGGTGGAGCAGCATATTCTCGAAAACATTATTGGCATGTTGGATAGGCAGATCAACTCCATGGCCGAGAATACTGACTACGATGCCGCAAAGAGAAGACTCTCAGAAAAAGAGAATGAATACAACTCCAGCTTGCAAGCTGCTCAGAGCAAGGTTGACGATTGCCAGAGAGCCTGGGAGCAGAAACAGGCAGACGTCAAGGCCGAGTTGGAGCGCGCCAAAGCACAAGCAGCTGCTTACCTTCAAGATCTCGGAGACAAGGCTGATGCAGCAGACAAGACATACGTCAGCACTCTCGCTGCTGCGACCGCCTACAAGGAGCAAGTCTGCCATGATGCTTCGGTGGCTATCCGTGAGGCAGAGTCTGCTGTATATCATGCTGATCACGATAGCGACGATGTAATCCGGCAGGCTCAGGACGAGTTGCATCGCAAGAGGGATGCGCTGAACGCCTCCTTTGGCAAAGCTGACGCCGACGTGGAGAGTGCTCAGCAGACTGTCGACGCGGCCTTGGAGATGGTTGAGGCGCTTGACAAGGATCTGTCCGACGTTGATCGTCGGATAAGCGAGGCCTCTCTGTGGGATATGCCGCTTCTTGTTGCCGAGAAGACGCTCAAGGCGACTGAACAGGCTATCGCCGCCGCCGGGCTCGAAGCTGCCCGGCTAGTCTTGATGGCAGCCGAGGGAGTCTTGGAAGGCCCAGACTTTATTGCTGGACAATCTGCAGTGACAGCCGACGAAGACGCCCTCGAGAAGCTCCTGGAAACCGAGGCGGCGGCTATCGAGGCCGCCAAGATTGCCCTCGAGGATACCAAGAAGTCCCAGGGGCTTCTTGTGTCTCAGGCTTCACAGGCCTTGTACGAAGTTGAGAGAAGTTCTAGCGAAATCAAGACATCGACACAAGCCAAAGCCGCCGTCGCTACCGGCGAAGAGACAGCGCGCTCCATGGTTTCTGACGCACAGCGAGCTTTCGATGAGTTGAAGAAGTCAGCCGAGTATATCGCCCTCGAAGAGGCCCGCAAGGATCTGGCCAAGGCGCAAGGAAAGGCCGCCGAGGTCGAACTTGCTCGACAAGCCTGCCAGCTCGTGGCAGAGAACAAGCCCAGTTTGTGGGATGAAGTTCTCGACCTCGGTGCCAAGATCGCCAAATGGCTTCTCGAGGCGGCGGGTGAGATCATCAACATCACGAAAATCTCATTTTCTGGAAGCTCGGCGAGCTTCAAGGACGGCGGCCCTCCCCTCAAGTGCAAGATTGAGGGTAAGCTGGTCGGCGAGGACATCGATATCGACCTGAGCTGGAAGCCCGACTTTGACATTGTCAAGTTCATCAAGGCCATCTTCAGCGAGTTGTGGGAGATGATCACGGAGGCTCTCAGCAAGTTCTTTGAGGGGCTTGCTAAGCTCGCCGAGGAGGTTGCTGAGAAGGTCGTCGAATTCGTTGAAGACGCGGGCGAATTCGTCGTGGAAGGAGCAGAGAAGGCCGTGGAGTTTGCCGAAGATGTGGGCGAAGTCGTCGTGGAGGGAGCAGAGAAGGCTGTGGAAGCAATTGGTAATGCCGCCAGCGACGTTGGCCATGCTGTGGAAGACTTCGCAGAGGATGTAGACGATGCCATGAGTGACGTGGGGAGTACCTTGGGCCACGCGGCGAGTGATGTCGGTCACGCTGTGGAAGATTTTGGAGAAGGTATAGACGATGCCGTCAGTGATGTCGGAAGTGCCATTGGGCATGTAGCTGATGACGTGGGAGATGCTGTCGAGGATGTGGGACATGCCGTTGAGAATGTGGCCAGCGATATTGGAGATGCCATTGGTAATGTGTTTAGTAGTCTTTGGTGATATAGGAGTCGAGCTGTACAAGAACCAGGAGTCATCTTGCGTTGTTTGCTCTTATATATAGTTGGTAGTTGGTATATGATATTGAACGTTTACAGAGTCCGGTTGTAGAGGGATATTGAAAGTTTATTGCCAAAATGGTATATTTTGTATGCAACTCTATTTTTCGATTGGCTACTGGCTTAGTGTTTCCTAGCTATGGCATCTTTTTTGAATCTTACGATATTTAAATATAGGTTTGACCTGATGTAGACATCATATGGCTGTTTGGAATCTATGCAAGACTGCTCATGTTCTCGCGAACCGTCTCCTCCAAACCCTTCCAGCCATCCTGTTGAGCCCACTTCTTTAGCAGTCTCAACGCAACACTGTCATCAGTGGTTGCAGTAATTGCCGGCGAATCCGGGAGATCATCGACCAACTTTTCGTTCGGATAGAGACGTCGCAAGATAGCCAACACATCATTCCAGTTGAAGGCAGTGGCCCATGCTTGGATGCGTTCCTCCTTGATATCCTTGTCAAGGATGGCAGCGACATGGAGAACCGCAACATCTTTGACACTCACGTAGATTACTGCGTCGAGTCATTAACACGCTGCGTAAAGTCTCTGATAAGGGGTAGTTGAAGTGATACTCACATGAAGGCATCATGCTAACTTGGCTTGTGTCGCCCTTGAACAATGCGGGCACCATGCCGGCTGTGCCTCTCTGATGGCTGGGGTGAAGCAAAGCGCCAAGCGTGGTAAATGGGCTCACTACATTCAGCACAAAGCTGGGCTTCTCGTCTTTGATGAACTTCCAAGCAGCCTTCTCAGCCTCAACCTTGCTCGCCATGTAGGTGATCATGCCGCGGCTGGCTTCGTATGGCGGGGGAGCCCACGCCGCCTGCAGGGCAGCGTCGTTCCAGGTATCGCGGCCGACATGCCCCGACGCACCGGGGATGGGCATAATGGCTGCGCCGACTGAAGAGGTGAAAACCACCTGTTTGACGGATGGCTCCGCGGCGGCGGCGCGCAAAAGCGAAACCACGCCAGACACTGTTTGGGGGACTACCTGGTTCGGGTCGGGGTCAAAGTTGGTGACGGTGGCGATGTGAGCGACAGCGTCAACCCCTTTGATGGCAGCGCTAAAGGCATCGGGGGCTCCGAGATCTGGGACCTGGACAAGCTCCAGGTTGCCAGCCGCATGTTCTGCGGAGAACAGATCGTCTTTGAGCCAAGCTGCCTTGGCAAGATCGCGGACCGTTCCACGCACTTTGTATCCGCGCTTCAGGAACTGCTGTCCTACATGTGTAGCAATGTAGCCAGTGAGGCCGGTGATGAGGATGAGGGAGCCCTTGGGGAGAGTCGCAGCCGGTTCAGCCATGATGATATAGAATTATGATGAATTTAATGGTGAGATTAGTGTTTGGTGATGTTCTTCTTTCTTTATGGACAAATTTTCTTGCCTCTCCGGTCTACTGTCTCTGCTTTTATACATTTATTTGCTTGTCTCTCAAGCAAAGATACAGCTCTCTCAAGCCGCTTTGCTGAGCAATCATCTCCAAAATTATTGGTGGAGCTATTACTAGCTGGTATAGACCCGCGCTCAATAGATTGATAATCACGCGCAACTTTTTTCCGCAATGCATTGAGCTCAACGGGAGTCAGATCAATGAAATCTTTAGGCTGGGGGCATAGACTCAAGCTACAGGCCACGTCCGCAAGTAAACGGTACTTCAACATTGGCGTTGTTAATCGTTTCCAATCCAAGTCAAACAAACTTGGTGCCATGGAGGCACATAAATGCCTACCCGTACCATTGTAAAGGTAACCCTCTTATGAAGCAATAGAGGAATTACCGTTCTGGGAATGTGTGCTAAGAGCCTCCGCGAGCCTCTGTGAGCGGTCTGCGATGGCTTCAAGGGTACGATGACAAACTCAAGCAAATGATTTTCTTAAGTAAGAAACTGAAGCGCTTGCATGGCATATTGTGGTCCCCAAGACGAAAAACATGATGTTTGATTGAAGAGACTGCTCGTTATTATATTAAATCACTCTAGATCAACCATCTGACCACATTTTCTACTTAGGGAAATACTTTTATCTAAACTAAAACGTTATGCTATAATCTGAATCTGACGCTTAGCAGTAACATCACTGAAATTGGCCCGGCAATAATCCATTTCAAACTTTTACAGGCCGGAATCGAGATGGGGAGCTTACTCATACTATTTCATAAAACACAATGGCCATTTCTACGGAGCGGAAATCAGTTTTCTCGCAATCCAAAGGGTTGATCACGATCTTAAGAAGCTTTCAACGAATTCCATGGCGGAGATAGAATTGTTGTCTCGCCCCCTGAATTCTCCAAGCGACTTTTGACGGCTGCCGATTGGCCGGATCATAGCGCCAAGCCCTTTTTTGCCTTTTTGGGAAGCTGTACTATTTTAGCTGAGCTTATCTAATCACGCTGAGTGAATCGCTGCGCATTGTCTCGTAGCTGATGGACGAGATAGCAAGAACCAGATGATTAATGATCTATTCTTAATGATAAAAACACAGTCTTCTAAAAACAGCTAAAAGTACTTTCATAATATGGCTTCTTTCTATCTTCTCTATTTCCGACGTGGCGTAAGTGAGATTGCAAAGGAAACGAAGTATCTAAAATGTAAACCAAATCATCCAACGTGCTTACAGTCCTCATCTTACATCTAGAATGGTGATGAGTCCCTAATTAAATGTCTGTTCGTTCTTTTTCTTTGCTATTTAGTTTATCAGGCTCTCTGATCCATCATATCTGCAGATACTCTGACTGTTATCTTGCTTTCCTTTGTACCAATTTTGTGACTGTATCTGCATCAATGATATCTTAATAGCCATGTATGCTTGACAGTGGTACATTTAGATTATTGATGTTATGGGTTTCCGCTTTTCATGCTAGCGGCAAATACATAAAACAACTTCTCTCCGTATTTCCGATGACGAATAGTCTCAAGAGCATCCCGAAGAAATAAACGTGCTGTCTAATTCCGCAGCGGAGTGGAGATGTTTTGAAATGTTCAAAAAAATTCCTAGCATGCGTATATCGGTCTAAACTCAAGTCATTGTGTTCCGCCGCTGCGGACATGTGAATCAAGTTCCGTGGAAGCTTCAACATTTATAGTAGTTGTACCTCTACCTTTTTCTTTGTTCCAAATCAGCCTATGAGTCCTTATTAGGGTCTTTATTTGTCATACTGTCGAAGAATTCGTTCACGAGGGCTTTCGTCATGTCTAAACCAGGATCTCAGACGGTAACCAGTCTTGATGACAATACAGACGTGGAGCTTAAACAGCCGGATGAAGCGGTGGAATCTTCGGACGTGCCATCGCTTTCTTCAACAGCACTGGCCTTTATCCTCTTGGGACTGAGCTTACCAGTTTTCCTCATTGCTTTGGACACTTCCATTGTTGCTACGGTCGGTATTCCTTCACAAGCCAGTTTAATGGGAGAATTTGGCTAACTAGCTTATGTTTCGTTCCCAGGCCATCCCCTATATCACAGATCGATTCAAATCTACGCAGGATATTGGGTGGTATGGGAGCGCATATTTTCTCGCACTGTTCGTTTCTCCAGATTCAATCTATCGTGTACTGTATTGGTGCTAATGTTGGTCTACCTAGATGCTCACTGCAGCCGCTAAGTGGTAAACTCTATGCAATATTTTCTCTTAAAGTAAGCAAAGCTCATACCGTCGCAAAACATGCAAGCGATTAGTCTAACTGTTTATAGTGGACGTTCCTCGCCTTCTTCGCCGTCTTTGAGCTTGGCTCTCTACTATGTGCCACGGCTGTGAGCTCTAACATGTTTATCGGCGGGCGTGCTGTTGCAGGAGCCGGAGGAGCGGGTATCGTGTCTGGTGCATTTTCGATTGTTGCATTCATTGCTCCGCTTGAAAAAAGACCACGTAAGAACTGCGTCCGTTCAATGATGTTTGGCCCCTGATGTTGACCTAAACGGTTTAGTGTATATCGGATTCGTATCCTCATTTTTCGGCCTTGCCACTGTCATTGGCCCTCTGATTGGAGGGGCTTTTACGGAACATGTATCGTGGCGATGGTGTTTCTACATCAATCTGCCAATCGGCGGGGTGGCCGGCCTGGTGCTGATATTGGTCTTTAATCCACCTACGAGAGCGATAGAAACAGAGCCCCTCACCCACCGCATTAAGGCTCTCGATCTTATCGGCGCCTCTCTTTTCATACCGGCAATCTTGATGGCCCTGCTTGCGCTTCAGTGGGGAGGGTCCACGTATCCCTGGAAATCAGCGACCATCATCGGACTTTTTCTTGGATTCGGAGGACTCTGTGCGGTCTTTGTCGTCTGGCAGTTCTACAAAGGCGAAGACGCCATGCTGCCCATGTCCGTGCTCCTCAACCGCACTGTTATTTTGAGCAGCCTCACTCTGGCGTTTGCATACGGCGCGATATTCTCAGTTGTCTATTATCTTCCGGAGTGGTTCCAAGTCGTCAAAGGAGCAGGCCCAATCAGAAGCGGCGTCATGAGCCTGCCGACCTTTCTTCCGCAAATTGCTGCCGCCCTGGTATCTGGAGCACTGGCCCCCAAATTAGGTCCTCTTAATCCTTGGGTCTGGGTTGGCTGTGCTTTCATGGCCATCGGCATTGGTCTCTACAGTACATTTGATGTGTCTACATCTTCCGCACACTGGATTGGCTACCAAATTCTTCCGGGCATTGGATTTGGCCTGATGGCTCAAATGCCCGTTGTTGCGGTACAAGCCATCTTACCAGCCTCACAGAGCCCTGTTGGCGTTTCTACAGCTACATTCTTTCAATTCTTTGGCAGTGCTATTTTCCTAGCGGTTTCCCAAGCCATCTTCGGTAACATATTTATTGATCAGTTGACGGGGCATCTTTCTGGTGCTCAAATACAGAATCTGCTCCTCAATGGCTCAGGATCTATTCGCACACTGGTGCCCCCGGAAAACTTGCCACTTGTTCTGGATGCATTCAACCAGGCCCTCATAGGCACATTCTATCTTGCTGCAGGCGCGTCTGCGGTTGCGGTTTTGATATCGTTTGGGATACCTTGGATCAACATCAAAGGAAAGGAATTGATATTAGAACCCGGAGCATGATACAGCACAGAAGTTCCTGGCAGGTTGCTACTGGCCTATACTGAATTGAAATTGCGGCTAGGTAGCATTATTTGCAGGAAACCGACGTCTTGCAATCTTTGTTGAGTTTAGAAAAACTGAATTGTTATTTAGCAGCTCTGAACATGGTTGCGTTGGACAGTGTTGCCTGTTTTATCACGGCATGGTCCTAGATTAACCCATCTTTAGGCTGTGCATAGATATTCATTCATTCATAGATTGTGACTGGCTCTTACAGCCTTTCTTCTTTTTCTTACTACTTAACTTGTAATTAATCCACTAATGTTACCCCAATGTTTTCTTTTTCTAATTTTTTCCGTCATCTCCACCTGGTTTTCACGACATATTGTCAGCTGAGCACCTTTCAAGTTGTCTTCTGCGTAACATATTAGAACATAACCTTGCTATCATGACTTTTATCGATTATTTACCCTCTTCCCATCAACAGAAATGCGTATGAATCATCTTATTTACACCCGTCATCCAGTTATGGCAATCACGCGTTGCAATCCAATATCGTCATGCAATCATGTATTCATTTCGTATATGCCAAACATTTCCAACATTACAAGCTTATGTGCTATAGCTCTCAATTACCTTCGATGAATGCAATCTTTCCAGCAGCAATAATGGTAAAACTACTTACGAATGGCAGCTCTCATCCCGATTTTCAATGGACAGCGATACTTTACCTCCCATTCCCCTCAGCCTTTAGTAGCCCCGCTTGTAGTTTTGATCGGTGTCTCAGCCACGACAAGCAAACTCAAGCAGCAACAGTTCACCATCCCCCGTCAAGTGCGGCGCAAAAAAAAAAAATACAGGCAAGCAAGGGCGTAAGGTGCTTCTACTAGCGAGACCTCGCTATAGATTCATATAGGTATCTCAAGTTATATTGATGGGTACATGCATCCACATGCATGTGTTTTGCACGTTCTTAGCGTGTGGCTAAGGCAGCGACTAATCTTTAGCGGCGGCTCGTGCCTAGCGCCCGCTGATGATAAACTCATAGCTGGAACAGTGATGAGATGACCCTGTACATGCATTCAGAACTGGGAGTCGGCTAGCCGGGTATTCCCTCTGATACAACCTTCAAGCATGCAAGTAAATATTCTTTTGGAGATAAATAAAGCGACTGTATTGGATTGAACTGACTGTTTTCTTAGACAAACAAAGACTTGACAAAATAAGAATAGACAACAAGAGGCCCATACTATCCACCAGTAAACTAATTCCTCAAAAATCATTTCTTTGCACTAGGAGTGCATTTGTCGCTCGAACCGTTGCTCTTATAAAACTTGTCATCGAACTCGTGTAGCTGCGCTTGCATCCGAGCTTCTGACTCGGCCTGGGTTGGGGCACTGCGGAATTCGAGCGGCGGCCGTAGATGACCACTGCTAGATTTCTTTCCGCTTTTTTGAGCAAATCGGTCCATATCATAGGTCAAATGGACTGGGACCTGGGGCGAAATCTGGGCCTTTTCAGAATTGACGCCGGTTTGCTGACTATAAATCCTTTGATTAGCACATGAGTGTACATTGTGTCCTTAGTGTACTAGTAGGTATGGGGCTGAGTAAAGGGTACATGTACATGTACCTGGATAGATGTAATAGCAGTGGTATGAGGTAAGAAGAGTAGAGCACTAATCCAACTACACACTTCCGTCTGCTATTTAGGACATGCGCCTAAGGAGGCAGCGACTGGGAGAGTGAAGCGGACAAAGGAGTTTCTCATTGATTGGAACTTACGCGTTGCTTCCGCCGTAAGTTGCGCGGGTAGATGATGAAGACATCTCGAGGCGCCGTAAAGTGGCTTGATCTAGGCACAGGTACTAAGGAGTACTTAGTATATATAGATAAATGCAAAAAGACTAATTTTAGTACCCGCGTTTTGCAGTGCACGAAAATAACTGTATACCTTAGGGGAATAGCCAAAATAAATGATAAGCAAGCGATGAGAGATGGTCCATGAGGAAGATAGAAGCAGGTACGCCTTTATATAAGAATGAAGGAAAAAAAAAGTGCTTTTCAATGTCATAGTTTTGCATGTTCTTGGCGATTATCAAGCTGCTTCGTGAGGCGGGAGCTTGCGCCTCAAAGTGAACAGAGACAGCATGCAGTGGAGAGAGACGGAAAAAGTGGTGGAGGGGTGGTTGTATTCCTGCAACTAATGGCCAAATTGCCGCTTGTGCCCCTTTGCTTTTGGGGAGTAGCTGTCACTTCATGTTTGGAGCACAGCTGCCCAGCGCGTTGTTCATTGAAAATGGCTACATTTACTAATTTATGCATTATTAGATGACGGTATTTTTCCAAGAGGAGTAATGGAAGTACTGAATCTCCTCTGACAAATCTTTGTTACTGGTTGAGAATTGTGTCTCTCTGTTTCCTGCTTCGCCTTCCCTGGCGTGGATTGAGGGAGTGGGAGCTGACATATGTATAGATTCTTGCTAGGTACATGCAGGGAGAGACGACCAAGTGTAGTCCACCTCAGGCAACGGGTAGGGCCAGCAATAGTATTTAATACTGCAACACCACCCGTCTTGGCATCAATCCATCCAAACGAACCGTTCATTTCGGCGCGGGGGGGGGGGGGGGGTTGCGGAGGGTTCCGCCTGTCTCTCAGCTATGGCACTCCGCGTCATCTTGGACTCTGATGTCTGTACCACAAAGCTCCCAATGTCCATTAATCTTACAGAATGCCGTCCTTTGGGCTGCTGGGTTCGCTCTTTGACTTGAGCAAAATGCATCATATTCTGGTCATTCTCCTCGCTTTTGCCTGCCAAAATCAGAGAGTATATGGTCTTTTTTTTTTTTTTTTTTTTTTTTTCAAAAGGAAGAATTGCCTTTATTATGGTAAGTTTGTGTGGCGAAGACTTGTGCAACTTCATACTCTTCTGCTTGGCTACATGTTTACAGGCTTGCCACAGTCAGGCTTTTCCAAGCATCATGTATGATCACTTGCTTACTACTGGCTTTCTGAACATATGCTACATATCTTTGTGGTGACGCATCCAAGCAAAGAATCTAGTGTTCACTGCAATGCTTTTACTGCCGGCAGAAGAATTCTGGATGCCTCCTTCAAGGCCGATGTCATTAGCCGCTGCTTAACCATGCACACGCCTCTCAGTAGCGCTACCGTAGACTGCAGGCAAGGCAATTTTGCTCAGGCCTAACCTATTGTTCAAGTCCTCTTCAAAAATACCAAGTAAGATACCTAATAGTTCGACTTCGTGCAATTCGCAGACGCTTTCAACGCCCGAGCGACAGACTTCCCAACCTGACCTGAGCCGCGATCCATTAGATTTCTGACTACAGGCATAGGATCGGCCGTCTAAATCACCTCACGAGCTCAATTTACAAGCAAGAATGCATAGTCATCCCCTTGAAGGTAGAATGAACTATATTGTCGAGTAGCAGTGCCAGGCTAGCGCAGCTTGTGGGCTTACAGCGTTCCAAAATGCCGCCTCCCCAACCCCACCACTCATTCTTTTGATGCTTGACGACTTTTGTAATACCTAAGTGCTTTGAACATTTCTTCTTCCTGGCAATTTAAGTTTTTTCTCACACATGTTCAACAATCCAGGCTCAGCTTCGGAATATTAAGGATCGATCTCCTATCCATGCCCCGCAGCTCTCCCCGGAAGACCTTGCAGAGGTTCCACCTCAGCTCCGTCGCCAGCGGAGGATCATCTGCTAGAAAAAGGTTTCGACTAGCTCTCAGTATAGGCCAAACAGAGGCTATTCCAAACGCCTATTTGAGCCATGGAGCCCCAGCAAAACTGGTGGTAGTGCTCGCGCCCAGGAGCTTTCTCCTGGTCCATGTCATGTATGAAGAGATGTCAACGTAGCTGTCATGTGCGGATTGGAAATGTTAAAATGGAAAACATTAGAAGTAATAATACGCGTTTGGACTTGACTATTTAAAAGCTAATCACAGAGGCCATCAAGCTATAGAGCTACATTGGTTTGACCCAGCCGGGTATGATTTCTATCGGACAGACTGTGTTACACGAGACAAAAGTTAGATCTCTACAATTTTCAGCGTTAGGGGCTCTCTTTATGCCAATTCTTCATTTTCTCCAAAACTGTGGAAGGCGGTACCTCTCCCTGCTCAGCGTCTCTGATAACACTTATCCGAGTCTTAAATGCGTTGTAAAACTCTACTAGCTTTGGGAACTTTTCCAAGACATCCCGCCCATAAACGTCCTTTACTACCTTTCCCGATCTCTGAGTCATATCCACGCCATAGCAGTCGACGGTAAACTCGAGGAACTGATACAGTACAACGTCTGGTAGGTTCACGCTATTGTTAGTGGCAGACTCATCCGTCTCACTCTGTATTAGTGGCGCCAGGTCGCGATCATTGTACGCCGCTTCGATTGTCATGAGTGAGCGTCGAACCCAACGCAACATCTCATTTGATGCGTCTGGTAGAGGAAAAGGCCCTGCACCAGTACTGAAGAGACGTATGGCATTCCATTGAGTGGTGCACTCATCCGCTAAGGCGATTACGCCGTTGATGTGCGCATGTTCGAGAGCATCGGCTCCACGCATGGAATAACGAGAGTCTGGGAATCCTTCAGCGCCATTGTCGCATAGCTCGTTTAGGTAACTCATGATAGCCAACGATTGGCGAATGTATATGACATTGGCACCATGATTGTACTGCGGAATGGCGAGGATGGGCAAGCTCCCAGGTGGCTTTGCAGGGAATTTTGAGTCGACATGATTGCCTAATTGGGGATCTGTGACCGGTACAATGGTTACATTAGACGATGGGATTCCTTTCTCTTCGAAGGTAAATAACAATTCTTCTGGGATAAGACATCCAAGGATACACGTATAAGAGCCACTTGACGCATTTTGAAGAAGACTGAGGGATGAAACGAGTTCTATTATGGGAGACAATTGTTGAGGAATTCGCGTAGCCTTTTTATATCGATCGCGGATCGATTCCCAGAGCATTCCCGCAATCTGTTCTCGGACACTTTACCGGATATATAAACAGCAAGTATCTTGTTAAATTGTTTCTCTGTTCAGCTGCATAACAGAACGTGTCATTGAAAACTCGAACCGCGAGAAGAATATTGAATGACGATCAGTGTGCAGTTATAATAGAAGAAGAGGCTAACATTGGACCAGTCTTCGAATAGCAAGCTCGAGCATTGGTCAGTTCTTGATCAAAGCTCCCTCTAATCAGGAAGACAGTTAGCTTCTGCCGAAGATTACAGTTTCGCCTATTTGAGGCCGCATCCATGTGCTCTATGATCTTCATTGGCATTCAGTCGATGTCCTTATCAATGCGTGCACTTATCGAGATTTATTTCTAATGCAATTGTATAGGTTCAAAAGACCTGTAAAGGCCAGTGCAAAAGAGGACTGTACCAAGCCCTTGGTTCAATGACTGGGTGGATAAGGATATCCAACAAAAAAAAAAAAAAAAAAAAAAAGCCATGTTCAGCCTCGTTGGGTACAACGACGCCAACAACGCCAGATCGTCAAGATCGCTTATAAGGTATGCGTGCACTTATAGAAGCAAGGCATAGTAAGCGTAAGAGCTTGCGTATGAACCATAAGCCCAAGGCAAGCAAGCACTGGTTCGCTATTCTATTATTACTGGTTCGCAAGACAGGCCACGGAGATTAAAACGATAACAGTAGTCGTTCAGTGCAAACGTTACTCCACACAAAGAGTTTGCCTTACCACTAACAATAGACATCCTACACTTCTCAACAGTCCTACCATCTTGATTCAAGTGAAGTATTTGGATAGCAAGCTATATCAATATCAAAAAATCTCGATTTTCTTGACGCAACCCTCCCCAACAGTGAGAGGCTTTGCTCTAGGGTCATGGCTAGGGCAGCGGTTTGAAGATCGGTAGAACCATATAGTATTATATAAAGAGGAGTGTTTCCGCCAAGCACGGCCCCAACGGGCGCATTTAGCGCTTGATCGGATTACATGTCCCCGAAAGAATGGGAAGAGTTTTGAAGCGTAACGGCAATCGCTGCCGGGCAGTCACATAGACACCATTTATAGTTCGCCCAACAGGAAACAAGATCAGAATCCAAGAATCTGATATGAACAAGTCTAAGTGGATTTAATAGCTATCCACATGAAACCCCGGACTCACTATACATCGTGTATCACATGATCTAGCGTCCCTTGAGATAGCTTAACAGGACAAAGGTCTATGATAGAGTCTGTCCTTGGGCGACCTAATAGCACCTTCTCCATTGAATCCATCTCACAAATTTGGAGTTCCGTGCTCTCTTCGTAGACTCGTTCAGCCTATCGAGGTATTTCTTCTTGAGCGAAGTAAAACTGTATGCACGCCAGGGGATATAGTTTATTACGTATCCAGGTATGTAAGTCCCCCCCTTTCGCATGAATCCTACGGCCATCAGAATTTGTCAGCATGCTCACCCGCCTATTTGTCAGCTCGAGCAGATGTATTGTTCGATGATATATAAATATCTCACCCCGGCTGAGATTAGGCACACTGGAGAGGTAGACTTGGGTCTAGGACAGCGCCGTCAGAGCTGATCATGGCCTACCGCAAGATTGGTGTTTTTGGCGCAACCGGCCACCTAGGCTCAGAATGTTAGTACAAATACACTTTTACTATATTCGTCGTGTAAGAGTTGACCGCTACGCATTAGTAACTCGCGCCTTGGTTGATGAGGGCTTCGAAGTGGTGCCATTTTCTCGTCAAAATACGGTATGTGTAGATGTCCAATGTTCTCAAAGTTTTATGCTCTAATAATGAAGAGGTTGTTGCGGGAATACCTACACAGCCGTTGGGATCGCTTGTCGGATTTGATGTGATCATATCTGCAGTTGGTACGACAGCACTGTTGTGCGGCAATCCATTCATAACAATATACTGATGCATTTATCCCTAAAGGCCACCAGGGGATGTATGAGCAGATACCCCTAATCGATCGCGCGAAAAAGGATGGTGTCAAACGCTTCATTGCTAGCGAATTTGGCGTGGATCATCGCACCGTTACATCGCCCTTCTTCGAAGCAAAGAGAGAGATTGCAAAATACGTACAGGAAGCTAGCTTTCCCGATGGTAAATATCTGTCCGAGCGCAGCTATATCACGGAAACTTGTCTAAGCACATACTAATGGATTCCTCAGGGTGGACCGCTGTCGCATCTGGCTTCCTGGAGTGGACGATACCTCTCTTTGTCAAAGTCGATTCTCAAACATCCTTGATTACCGTAGCTGGTAGTGGCAAGACACAGTACCCGTTTATAATTCGATACGACATTGGACGCATCTTGGCCGAGACGTTCAGAAACCCATCCAAGTACAAAGATACTTGGATATTTGCTGCTAATAGTTGGTTGTCTCTAGATGAGATTGCGCAATATGTCCAGAACGAGTCGCAATTGGAGCTGAAAATCCAGCACGAAGAATTGAATGAGAAGACACCAGTGCTACAGTTGCTTGAACAAGACGGGCTTCAGATTTTTGAACGCAGCCAACAGTCGGACTTTGCAAAACAACAAGCAGATATAAAGGAGGTCATAAAAGGTTACTTCAAGCCATACTTTGAGAAAACGGCTAATTAAAACTATTACTATTGTGGAAGAACGTCATCTCAGACAGGGCGGTTTCTTCGAATATGCTTGATACAGGAGTCCTTGAAAGGCTACTCAGCCCTGCTCCACACCGTCTTGCACAAAAAGAAAAAGTTAAAAACAATCATCGAGTGGTCATAGGTTGCTCTACAGAGTGTATTTTGAAAGGCGTGATATTTTATGGAGAGTTGATGTGTGTTAAAGAATGCTGTGAAGCGCCTGTCAATATCAAGACAAAAATACTTGCCGACGACAATTAACATTGTGGAGGACATGGAAATGGAACGTCTTATTGTAGTTTTAGATACTTCAGTATTTGTGCGATTGGTGGGTTTTACATCATCTCCAATTGACACAATCGGTCAAATATAGGTCTAGAATATGTGCTAGCTCGCATTAAAACCAGGCTTTGGCCAGGCATCGGTCTACCTATCAAATTATTAGCCCATAGGCCAAACAAGCATTGGCATCTGAGCCACAAATAAGGGAGACCAAACTGCACATACACTCCCTGCTTGAGCCCAACCGTATTTCCAGAGCTATATGATTCTTTGGATGGCTGCGCAGTCTACCCGATTAGGAATTGATGCATGTATCGTAAACAAGCCCCGCCGAATTGCGCAGACTAGATTCATGTATGAAGGAGCAAAACTAAATCATCATGTGATCGCTCTCCGTCTCCCCCTCAATTAATCGCACAGGTTACATTTGAGCATGATGACATCTACGCTCTTTTATGTGCGACTTTCTATCCCATCGCCGAATGCCCGCGTAGAGACTCCAGGGACTGGCCGTCATTCTCTAAGCCAGGGGAGTACCATACACGAGTCTCAATTATACCCGGTATCGAGGATAAAAAAAAAAGCGACGATCCTGAAGAGTAAAAATGTCGGTCGCTCCATCATCACAAAGGCTCTCAACCAAAAGAATATCGTCAAAGCCGGGCCCGCGACAAGAACAGGTATATTATCTGTGAAAATATACCGACTTGTTTCTTCGGGAGCCTAGCGTTAACAATGAGGTTCAGCTATGTGAGGTTTGTGAAAAGTTGCTCAAGCTGCTCCAAGCCCCAGTCGAGACTCGAGGAGATACCATGAATCACATCATGATCAATAACTGGAAGCAAGTCGTGGAATCACAATGTCTACATCATCCAAAATTTCTTGCGGCTGTGTTAAAACTTGATCTCACGCCTAGTGCCGCTGATGAGATTTCCCTCAGAGTTTTAGCATTCACGGGGTGGGACCACCTTGAAGTTCATGCTGATATCAAGAGCGCCGGAAAGTCTAGACAATTTAGATCAGGGCAAATCTACCTGCTTCAAAAAGGTACAAAGTTCCCAAAAGATGGCAGTGCACGACTCGTCAATCCTCTCTGGATTGACCGCAGTCTCCTTCGGCAGTGGAAAGAAAAATGTCTTTCTTCTCATGGCGAAACCTGCGGCTCAACACAGGCACAATCAGTTTATAATGACGATGCTCGGCCCACGTGGCTCATTGATGTTTGGCGCAAATGCCTCGTGCGCCCGTCGCAGCATGATCGATACATAGCTCTAAGCTATGTTTGGGGAGGGGCTCCCACATTGATGGCTCGAATGAACAATATTGCTGAGCTACTAAAGCCATTAGCATTCGCTGAAGGAAGGACAAGCGTGCCCATACCGAAGACGATCCGCGATGCAATGAGTTGCGTTGAAAGACTTGGTGAACGATATCTTTGGGTAGATTCGTTATGCATCGTCCAAGATGACCCAGTGCACAAGGAGGCAGAGATTAATAAGATGGTGGCTATATATTCCAACGCATTTATAACAATTACTGCTTCCGACGGTCTTGACGCCGATAGCGGCCTCCCAGGTCTCAGTGGTCTCACTGAGCCAAGGACAGCAATCCAAGTTGTCCATACATTGCGGCCGGGCATTCAGATCGTTGAGTGCCTCATGGAACCAAAGAATACAAAGTGGAGAACGCGAGGATGGACATATCAAGAAGAGGTATTTCCTCGACGACAGATCTTCTTCGAGGGTGGCTGGGCTCGCTGGGTTTGTCAAAGTGACAAGTGGGCTGAGGTGGGCGAGAAGCATGGTGGGAAAGTTGATGGACAAATTGGTAGCGTCACTAGTATGAGAGATGCACTGTCAAGTCCTATCCCAGATCCATATGTGTGGTGGAACATGATCGGTGCGTATAATATGAGAGACTTGACTTATCCCGAGGATGCCCTCAGTGGATTTGCTGGTATACTCAATTCTTTTGGAAGAAGTTTCGACGGCGGCTTCATCTCCGGTCTGCCTGCCGCCATGTTCTACATAGCCATTCTGTGGCACACTCGCGATCCACTCACTCGTCGAAGAGCGAAGGGCTCTGGTGGGAATTCTTGCCTCCCAAGTTGGAGCTGGATAGGTTGGAAAGGCACGCTTTTGTCAACTGTAATGCATCCATCGTTGGAGTTTGTCAAAGTGAGAGCGTCCAGAGAGGGTGCAAGGTACTTTGACAGAGTCACGCCCCTTGTCCAGTGGCATTGGAAAGAGAGCTTGAAGGATCCTGGGATTCCGATTCGGGATACCTGGTACGAGTATAGGCAGAAGTATGCCGTTGAAACACAAAAGAGCCCATGTCCCTCTGGATGGACTAGATATAGTGTTGATACTGAAATACATTCAGGGAGGCTCACCTTTCCGCCACCAGAGCTCGACAACTCGCCAAAATTCTTTTACAAGCACATCTCAGAGCCTGAGTCAGAATTTTGGTACCCTGTTCCCATACCCGATCCATCGCAGATCCCCAAAAGCCACGTCGCCGCACCATTCATCTCTTGTCGGACAAAGAGAGCTTTTCTATACGGTAGCGAAGTCATCACACCGCAGTACATCAAAGGCACTGCGGTCATTTCACTTAGAGACAACACGTCAGCTTGGATTGGCGTTATACGGCTACAGGAAGAATCAACAGACAATAGCAGAAGCTTAGCAGGCCAAGAGATTGAGTTAGTAGAAGTTGCCTTGGGTCGTGTCCCAAATGATGCTCGCCAAAGGCTCCAACACCACCAGGTCTTGGATGAATGGGACCATGAAGAGAGGCCGAAAAATAACGACATGTACGAGTACTATTACGTCATATGGGTTGAGTGGATAGACGGTGTTGCATATCGAAAAGCATTGGGACGAGTGGAAAGAAGTCTGTGGGAGGCCCAGGAGCGTCAAGATATTGACTTGGTCCTCGGATGAGCAAATAGACTGCGAATAGCGAATATTAAGCAAGGCTAGTATATGGGGAAATTTAGAAGGTGAAAATGCTATTATGAAGATGAGGTTGTAGCTAGGAAATGGCAACATAGTTTAGGATCCAGAATGGTTATGATGATAGGACTGAATGATGAAGGGGGAGAGGGCATAGTTGGGAAAAGGGTATTTTGAGGAGACAGCAAGAGGATGTGTTTGGGAGATAGGAATCGCGCTTACAGATCACATACTTGGCGCACCATACCTAGGCAGCTGGCTGAGTAGTATGTTACTCCAATACAAGAATCCATCCGCAGGTTGGCGGGGCTGGGATTGTCTTATATTCTAGTGGCTCATCTCTCCAAAATCACTTATTCTAGGCCACTCTTCTCAGTCTTTTATATTTAGTATTCTCAATACCGTCCTATAAACACCGTGGCTTGACGGTGTCAATTCCCTACTACTTGTATCTTCTTTCTCTTTTTCTTTTTCTGGTTTATCTCTGCAGCAATAGATGTACGATTAGGGTTGAAGCTATCGATAGGACCCCCTCTATGGCTGCTACCTAAATGTGCCTAATGAACGGATGATGCACGAATGCCCAACTCAAGCATACACACCTCCCCGCCTTCAACAAATGAGGTAGTCTCAACGCCTAGGTGGCATGGCATTTTTTTCACCAATGATGCTAGATGGATTCAATTATGCAATTATTTGGGGTATTATTTACCAACTGAATATAAAAATTGATAATAACTAGATAAGCATATCGAAGACTGATCAGGCTGTTCCTCTTGTAATAGAATAAGGCACAACAAAGCATCATTCTTCAAATCTCAATTTTGATCATCTGGCGCTTTGCAATATCTATATACCTTACATCAAGGTCATTTAGAGAGCTGGATCAAACGTCGTCTGGTTGAATTAGCATCGTCTTGACATCCGAAGATCGATCATATGCCTATGTGTGCGTGATCAACCACAATGGCGGATACTGTTGGGCCTATTTCCAACGTAATCGCGGTCGCTGATCTCTTCATCAAAGTCGGCGTGCAGTGCTCTGTATACTGCTCAGGCCTCAAAACCGCCCCTCGCGATGTTCGATTGATCTTGAACGAGGCCGACAGATTCACGGCAACGCTCAAGGGTTTGGAGAAACTGCTTGTTAACAATTCCCAGAGCAAGAAGCTTTCATCTTTGCAGAATATTCTCGGCATAGTGGAAGAGTCTCGCCTGCAACTTCAAGATCTGGCCGCTAAACTCGAGCGAGGGACCAAACTGCAGAAGATAATGTGGCCGCTGAAGAAAGAAGAAGTTGCCAGGATAATCAGCCGGTTGGAGAAATATAGAGCCGCAATTGCCTTGGATTTACAGGTGGATCAGACGTACGTATAACAATTTTTCTTTTTTTAATCTGCTTTTCTTACTCGCAGCATTGCTCACTATTTGTCAACAGCGCATTGCTACTCAATGTTCACCAAGAGGCCGTATTGGCAAAGCTCAAATCTGCCAAAGGCGCAGCATTCGATTCTCCCGGTCACGTTAACAGCTCCAGATGCTATCCCGGGACAAGGAAAGGCATTCTGGAACATATCCAAACCTGGAGCACAAACCAAGACGGCCAGTGCATCTTCTGGCTGAATGGCGGAGCTGGTACCGGCAAGTCGACGATATCTCGAACCGTAGCGCAATCATTTGCGGATAAAGGAATGCTCGGTGCTAGCTTTTTCTTTAAGCGTGGAGAGGCTGACCGTGGCAGTATGGCTCTTTTTTTCCCCACGATAGCATCTCAGCTTGTCCAAACGTTTCCTCAGCTTGCGCCACACATCCGAGCAGCAATCGAGACCGATCTTACTATCTATGATAGGTCAATTAAGGAGCAGTTCGACAAACTTGTTGCAGAGCCCATTAAGACACTATCAGAGGTTTCCCAATTGCCGACGATAGTCGTTGTCGCCGACGCGCTTGATGAGTGCGAAAACGTCGAGCATGTGAGATTGGTCATCCACCTCCTCTCACAGGTGAATCATTCCGCATCTGTTTGCTTAAAGTTTTTCGTTACCAGTCGACCAGAGCTTGCTATCCGACTCGGGTTTAAGAATATTGATGGCCATTATGAAGATCTAGTCCTTCATCGAGTGCCTTCAATTATTGTCGAGCACGACATTGATTTGTTCTTGCGACATGAATTCAATTCCATTCTTCAGGACTTCAACAAGTCTGTGTCTTCAAGCAGGCAGCTGCCTCTGTCATGGCCCGGTGTCGAGAAATTCCAACAGTTGGTTTCCATGTCTGTGCCTTTATTCATCTTCGCTGCAACCGCTTGTCGTTTTGTTCGGGACCGACGAATTGGTGGACCCGAGGAGCAGCTGAGCAAGATCTTGGAGCAGCAAACGACTTTTGGATTAACGTCTCGCCTGGACGCGACATACTTACCAATAGTCAATGGACTGGTGGCCGGGCTCTCAAATGTTGAAAAGCGTCACGTTTGCGAGCGGTTCAAGCACATCATCGGTTCTATAGTCACTTTGGCAAGCCCACTTTGCGTAGCCTCTCTCGCCTGCCTCTTGAATATACCTCTACACGTTATTGAAGATCGGCTAGATTTACTGCATTCTGTCTTACACATTCCTCCCGATCCGCAGAATCCCGTGCGTCTACTTCATCTGTCTTTCCGCGATTTTCTTGTGGACCCGGAAAAAGCCAATTTGGAAGAAAGGTATCCGTTCTGGGTTGACGAGAAAAAGGCCCACGAAATGCTGGCAATACATTGCTTGGAACTGCTATTGACAGAGGGCACTCTTAAGAGAAATATTTGTTCCCTAAAACTGCCAAGCACCCCTCGATCTGAGATTGACCAACGAACTATCGATGCCGCTTTAAAATCTGAAGTTCAATATGCTTGCCTATACTGGGTCGCCCACTGGAAAGAGAGTAAGCGCAGCGTTGAAGATGGCGGGCTTGTCGACCACTTTTTGGATAGCCACTTGTTGCATTGGCTCGAAGTTCTCGGGTTGATCGGACGTATTTCGGATTGTATTGGAATGATAAACGACCTGTTGAGTTTGCTCCATGTACGATGATCTCCACGTCTTGCTTAAAGCAGGTCCATGATTAAGCTGACATTGATCTGAATAGCCGGGAAAGAGTGTCCTCACCTCAGCTCTCCTCCGAGATGTTCGACGAATCGTCCTCAGCAATCGGGCAATCATAGACATTTCGCCTCTTCAGGTTTACAACGCGGCCATTGTGTTCGCACCGGAAAAAAGCATCGTCAAAATGAAGTTTCGGAGCGAACTACCTGTTTGGCTAAATGTATCGCCACCAGTCGCTTCTGAGTGGGACCCATGTTTACAAATACTCGAGGGACACAGTTGCGGTGTGTATTCGCTTGCATTTTCGCATGATTCGAAATTGCTAGCATCGGCATCTTGGGACCAGACGATCAAGATCTGGGATGTTGCAACCGGTATCTGTATCTCAACGCTCAAAGTACAACACTCAAGAGGTTATGTGGATGCGTTCTCGCCTGAGGTTGTTTCAAGCTTGTATAACGAAATACATCTATGGGATGCTGTAACTGGAACATGCACTTCAATTTTCAAACACAGCGATGATATCATCCTTGGCGGCGTCTCTACCGCTTTCTCACATGATTCTAGGATATTAGCATCAGGGTCCCGAAAGTGCATCAAACTCTGGGATGTAACAAGCGGCATGAGTATTTCAACTCTCAGCCTCGACGGCGACGTATCCTGTTTGGTCGCTTTCTCACATGATTCTTCAATGCTGGTATCATTCTCATATGACTCTACAATCAAGCTATGGAATACTGCTACCGGTGCTTGTAAAAGCACGATCAAAGTCAACAACGAGGCTGTTCAATTAGCCGCCTTCTCTCAAGATTCCAGGATACTTGCATTGGTATCACGCCCACGAATTAGGCTATGGAATACCGTCAACGGAAAATGTATAGCAATCTTAGAAGGTCAAAGGGAGAAAGTTTTTTCTCTCTGCTTTTCACACGATTCTAGCATGCTCGCATCAGCATGTAGTAAGGGCGATGACACAACATGGCATATTGCGAGCGATATCAAAATATGGGATGTCGCGACGAGCAGAAATATAGCAACATTTAAAGGTCACAGCAAGAAGATTTTCTCACTCCAATTCTCGCACGATTCCAAGCTACTTGCATCGGCGTCATATGATTCTACTATCCAAATATGGGATCGTGACATCGATGTCGACCAAGTACCACTATCTGCCATGGATAAATACTCTATCACTGAGATACAGCTCATGAAGGGGACGAAGACACTGATTTCAAGATCATTAGGAAAAGAAACCCAGCTGTGGGATGTACCAACGGCTTCCTGCACAGCAACGCTTCCTGAATGTTGGGACTTAATTGCAGTTGCAGACAATACCGAGTTGCTCGCAACAACTTCAACCTCAAATAGTCATATTCAGTTTTGGGACATCGGGACCGACGCTAATATAACTACAGTAAAGGGCTTCAACAGCTCAATTTCCCGAACCGATCCAAATTTTGATTTCGAAATAATGATCGCTCAAATTGATGGCCATCACTTGGATAATTACTTCGCGATTACCGCAATCACATTTTCTCATAACTCTCAGCTGCTTGCATCAGCATCGGCAGCGGATGGAATCATCAAAGTATGGGACGTCAGCTCAAGTGCCTGCATAGCTACACTCACCGGGCATTGCAAATGGGTCAAACAACTTGCAATTCTGCCACATTCAGACGTACTTGTATCATCTTCCAGTGATGGAACAGTTAGAATCTGGGATATTCGCACCGGCACCTGTACCGCAATGTTTGAAGGGCAGAGTGGCCCCGATAACAAATCAATTGCATTCTCTCGCGACTACAGTTTGCTAGCATCAGGGTTAAAAGACGGAAGTATCGACGTTTGGGATCTCTCTACAGGAAAATGCCAAATAAAGCTTCTGGGAGCAGGCCAAGGCCCGGTACATACAGTCGCCTTTTCTCATAGCTCTGCACTGCTGGTATCAGTAGCACCGCGGCCCCGTAACCAAGACCACGAGTATATACCATATCGATTTCTCAAATTCTGGGACATCCCAACCAGCTTATGTCTAGCTACGATCGATGTCAGTTATCTCGCTACGGAGTCTATGTCTTTCTATGAAGTTGGATCTTGTGTCATTACAAGCGTGGGCGAGTTTACATTGAAGGGTACGTGTCATGCTGCATTGATTTACAGACGCTTGCTGATAAGAACACTAACTCGAACAGGAACCGTGCTCTCAGATGATTCAAGAAGAGAATCGCAGTCTCTGCCTGTCGGCGACGCTTCTATTCTCCGCCGGGGTATTGGCCTTAGCGAGGATTCAGAGTGGGTTATGTGGAATGACGATAGAATGATATGGCTCCCGCCAGCATATCGACCACGTCACGTCGCTGCGATAGAATCAACATTAGCTATCGCATGCTCACAACCATATGTGGTTTTTATGACAATTTCGCCCAGCGCATTCTCAAATGGCGAAACTTCGTCGATCCCATAGAGCATCCCAAGTGCCGTTTTGGGACGGCGGCTTGTCCGGAGCAGACACTTTGATTCTCTAGAAGCGTTTGAAAAGCTGCCAAGGTTCCGTTTTCTGTTTTGTAGGGGACGAATGGTTGAGCGGTAGGTTGACCACTGGCGAGGACCTGTTGTTGTATGTTTTTGGAAGTATTTTGGCTTTTTAGTTATCTGATCAATCGCCTAAAAAAAGCCAATTTATTCGCTCAGTCTAATAACATTTAACTCCGCTGATGCTCGAGTGACAAAGGATCGAAAAACTATGAACGTGGTATCAATCCAAGGGCACATATCCAATAACAGACCAAGTCGACCCATCATACTTGACCTCTCTTACTTTGCCATCCACCATGTAATAACAGCGCGCCATATCGTATTTGGATTGTATAGGAGTTACAACATAATCGGTTGCAGTAAGGCACGCTATATCTGTTCCGTCGTCGGGACTTCCAAGGGCGTCTGGCGTTGATGAGGTTTGCCACCCGTTGTTGTCGTCATTCTTGGTCATTTGGAGAACAGTGCCATTTTGCCATAAAACATAAAAGTTCATTAGGCTGTCTAGATTTCCGGCGGTCTTGGGGATAGCAAACGCGCCTATGGCTGCTTGTGCCGGGATGGGGACGTTAGGCGCTGGGTCATCTGCAATATACGTTAAATATAAGTAAAGCGCCCGAAAAAATATCCGTCTGTCAAATCTCACCTGCCACTGCATCTATACTAGCATTGTGCCGCATTTCCGCAAAAAGTGTATGGTCATCTCGCTGATAAATAAAATTGGCACTTCCAGTCCTTGAACCCCACCATGGGACTTCCACCAGTGCCGAATGATTGACGGCCGAGAGGTTCAAGATGTTGTGAGCCCAACGATTGTGTATCGAATAATAGGCCTCTTTTAACCCATTCACCCCGTTTTGAAAGACAACGCTCGGCCAGTGTGCTGCAAGCCTCGTGTTCATGCCTGCTCTTAGGGCTCTTGCAGAGAGAGTTCCCTTTTTATTGGTCGTGGTCCGCACCGGGGCTACTTCTTCTTGGATCGCCCAGTTGTTGATGTAGCCCTGTATTCCCTGGTAGAATACATCGATTTGCGTATAATTCTGTGTGATAAAGATTGGCGCATTAGATAGGTGGATATAGCAGTTGGAAGCAAGACTTACACTGGTGGAATTCCCTTCATTTTTGAAGTAGAATGTGGAATTATAACAGCTAGCTGCAAGCGGAGAGCCCGGCTTAAGCGGCGGGTCTGTCTGATATGTTGCTACCGTTGACCATTTGCCATTGCTGGAGCTGTAGCCCGTCATGCGCAATTGGCCATCCTTTCCTTGGTAGAATAGGCGGATGTTGTATTGGCTGGTCGTTTCCCACCAACCGGTTACTGCAAGGCTTGAATTGGAAGCAACGGCGCTGGGCGACGATGACGAGGGAGTTGAAGAAGGGGACGAGGGAGCACTCGAAGTCCTCGAGGACGTTGCGGAATTGTGATGTCGCGACCCAAGGACACCGCCAACCACAGCTGCCACTACCACCACCACCAGAATAACCGCTGCAACTGCCATCCATATCATCCTTCTTCTCGCGTTTTTCCTCGGTATTGTGCTTTCAATTGCTGGTGCAGCCTCGGTCTCGGGCTTTGTCTTGACACCTGAGCCAGGCAAATCGGTACCAACCACTTCCAATCCATCATCTCCACGGAAAGGCTCTGGAGCTCCGTCGCCATTTCTCGCAACGTCAACCTCTGGTAAGACTTCAGGCCCTGTGGCCTCGGCGAAGCGCGATCTCATGGGTATCAACGGTGGCGCCTGGAATTCCTCGTCGTCGCCAGGTGGAGGGAAAGAAAAAACAAATAGCACAAGACAGGAGAGAGGACAGGAGAGAGATTGACAGAGGAGGATTTAAGACACGGCGTCGCATGGCGCAGGAAAAGTTAACAATTGGCAGGGCTCTTTCAGGCTCTTTCAGCCTGTGGGTGGCTGGCTCCCCTCAAATCTGAGCGAAGTTCGTGTCGCATCGTTCAACTAGCCAGCTTCCACAGCCCGATAAAGCGCTATGAGATAATTTGGCAGGAACAGGATGCTGAAGGATGCAACTTGCAGCCAATTGCAAGGCTACGAGTGGTGATGTAAAGCTTTGGATCGGCGGTAGGATGGCCAGTTTCAGGGTTGATGCCGCAGTAGGTCGCAAAACAGGCAAAGCGGTAGAAACCTATACATAGATTTGGGTGGTAGTTGGCTGAGCTAGGAAGGTCTCTGCCGAGTTACGAGCGTACACTGCAATACTCAATGTGTTGAAAGCCGAGCTGGATTAGCATCACTATAACGTAATGCAATTAAGACTACGCCTCTTATATGTAGCACATTTTTCTTTGGCTCTAAGGCATTGGTATCAAGATATTGTCTATTATAACGTCGATATTTAAGATCGAAAGGAACAAGCATCCGCATATGCCACTCCAAGATTTTGCCCCCGCGGAACACGGAGTAAGCCTGCATGGTTCCAAGTGGAAACAGGCAGTGCTGTGGACCGCGAGCCACGAGCCATAGGCTTACCCTGCCAACTATAAAGAACCTTGAAGCCTTGCTTACCTTTGTAGTAGTATTAAAACAATCTCACGAGTTCTCCATCTGGTCAAAGAGCCACGGTTCGTGGTCCAATCCTGATGAAGCCACCCGGAACTGCTGGCATGACTGCGGTTCTTTAACCAGAGTATCCACCAATTCCGAGAGTAGAGGGTAGGCAGATAAAGATGGCAGCGTTGATGTATTAGCAAGATCTTGCGAAACCGCGAAAGTGGAGAATGCGAGCCACTTGCGCTCGAGAAAGCCAGACCGTAACAAAGGGCGGACGCTATTATTGAGTGTGCAAGCGTATATAGTTTTCTAAAAAAAAAAAATGTAAATACAAACTATAGATGTCGCAATTTAACAATTCCTTTTTTTTCAGCCGTTGAATCAATCTTTGTACCATTATCCACCTATTCAAGTGGAATCCCCTATTCTGTAACCCAGTTAGCGGAGCCAACTATCAAAACTCCAGCGGTGCATGTAGTCGGAACGAACTCACAACTTAGGCGTACTTTCATTAAGAAACAAAAGAAGAGAAAAACAAAATATATATAAAAAAAAAGCGCTTTATTTACTAGCGGAGGTTCCACCAAAGAATTTCGCATCAAAAGTGCGCAGCTCTTTGCGCATGCGTGCCTCCGCCTCAGTCACTGCTTCAGCGTCGGACGGCATCTTGCCAAAGCCCGGCCCTGGACGTTGACAGCCGGGAGCTGTCTCTTTGTTTTTGTCAAGAAAACGACCAAGGCTGTAGTTAGGGTCGTTGGGAACGGGAACGGGAACGCGGGGACGGGCGGCGGCTTGTGTGGCGTTATCACTGACAGCCCAAGGGTCGTTGGCTCTGTGCGACGATTAGCGGTGGCGTGTTAGCCAGGTACGAGATGTGGGGGGTGAATCAATTAAAGGGTTTTGATTGTTTGGTCCGATTTGGGATCTACATGTGCCCAAATGGCATACTTGAGATACCAGGGCGGGAATGTTCGGCTCAGAGGGTACAGAGGGAAGCAAAGAGGCAAAAGAAAACATAAAAAGCAAAGTAGGAGGACATTAATTGTACTTACATAGCGCCATCACCACACGTCGCGCCTGTAGATGAAGGAGGCATGGGGGAAGACTGGAGGGTGGTCGAGGGCTTCTTCAAGACAAATGAGCACTTGCGCCAAGTTCAGCTGTGTTCGCCAAGCTATAGCCACGAACGATGCCGGAGCAGCTCTGGGAGAAATCGAAAAGAGGGCCATGATCAGGTTTTATATTCATGAAGAGGAAGGCATCAGACAGAGCACCTGGTTCACATCAATTGCAGCATCATTAGGCAACTGAGTGGGATGAAAACTCTAGTCATGGCGACTGAGGTTAATGACTCTGTACCTATCTCTGTTGGGGTACCTATGCAGTAGCACGCGATGGAATACACGAGCCATGCTACTGCATTTGGACCACCACATGGGCGATTTCATGAGATGGATGTGGCCCTACCTGTAGCATCCGCTAACTTCCGGCCGCGGGAGGGGATAAGGTTGAGCTCCTAAACGGTAAAATCCAATTGATGCGTTTTAACGCGGGGGACCATTGAGAGCGGCATTTGGGCAAAGCGCCGTTCATCAGAGGATGTGCGTTGCACAACTGGATGACGTTGATACGGCACTCTTTTTACGGTGCTGACGCTCTAGTGCTCTACCACTTTATTTACCTACTGTATGAAGGCAATGTACTGTATGAAGGCAATGCATCTCCCAGGGACGACAATATGCAAACATAGAATTTTGAAGTTGGGAGGTCTAGCAGAAGGCAAAGCACCAAGACGGCTTTGCCGAATACTTATAAACCTAAACTCTGCATGGAATAATTATTCACATATGCCCCTTGCAGATAGAGGCGTAATGGTCTCGTGCTTGCCACCACTCTAGTAGCCGATGATGAATGTGTTCCCGGCGCTGGTCGTGCTGTTGCTGTTGCTGTGCTGTGCTGTGCTGTGCTGTGCTATGGTGCCGCCGCTGTTATGCCGGCTCAATCCTCACTGCCCGGGGGCTCGCTCCTCGTCAAACGCAGGGATACGGGTAGCGCGGATTAGAATCTGGGGCGTGTTGCCGAAGTGCATAGGTCAGCGCCGACACAGTCCAAGTGGCTGGCTCCCCGAGGGCTAGACGACGATGGCGGTTCCAGGAGAAGAGGAGAAGCGAACTCGGTGAAGAAGCAGAGGCTTAAATCGCATGTATTTGAATGGGACTGAGGGGTACCGCCCACGGCCAGGGTGTGGTCGAATAGTTGAGATGCGTGCCCAATTAATTTCTCATGCTCTTATTGAGCAGAGCCAGACGGAGGCGGGCTTCCCCATTGGGCTGGCATCCCACCTTGCAGATAGCAGCGTATTATGCCAGTTGAGGCTCTGTTTTTTCTTCTTCTCCCAGTATGCCTACCTATGCCTATTGGTTACAACGTACATGCATACAATTGCGCCAGTTGTATCTGCCACTTATATCTATATACTAGCCCAAGAACAAGCTGATAGCAAAATGCTTGTTCCCTTGATGCTGTCTTCCCTTTTGGCTGGCCAGGCATTCCTTCGTGCCATCTCTGCCAAAGTTTTACGTTTTACCGTTTAGCCAAACCAAAAGGGACGGTGTAACAAGGAGCTACAACGTGTTGTGCGCACGAATGAATACTTAGGTTGCTCGCGGTACATGTGCTCAATATCCAATTTGAGGCGGCCTAAACGTGGAGCTGGAAGGGCCAGGTTGCCGCTAAGCAGCGGGCACTAGAGCGGACGCCAGATTAGACCAAACGCTGACAAGGTGGCTTGGGGCTTTTTTGCCAACCGCGCGATCGCCATGGACACAGTGTTGATAAGGATTGAGAATTCCCAGCTCGTTTTCAAGTCCTTCCACCACCCCTCCCTTTGCCTTTCTCATTGAAAAAGTTGCTTTGCGGATATTGAAATCAAGGACTGCCTGACAGCAGAAATGACGTATACGCGACACATTGGAGAGAGTCTCCAAGTGCCCCGATCGTCGCTGAATATATGCGGCTTCAAGCTTTTAACATGGGTAAGTTTTGTATCAGTATTCCAAGAACATTCCACTGCATAATAGGAATTTACATTAATATAACTGTCTAAATCTGACTGTGAACTCTCCGTGCTTTATCTCCTGGAGGAACTCGCCATGATTGTTGGTAACTCCGGATAAGGCTTGAGGAATCAGAAAATTGCGTCATTGCTCGATTAATGTCAAAAGGGAAAAAGATGATAACTCCCAGAAGCTAGTAAGTATTGAGGCATATACTACTACATACATGTAGCTTCTAGAGAAATGAGACGCCTACTACTAATGTACTCGGGTTTCGGACTCGGGCGACGGTCCACGCTCCACGCACCTCAGGCTATCTTCAAAATTTAAATCTGAGAGAGGACGGCCCATTAGGAATCGAAGACGAGGCAGCGGAGAAGAAACATTCGACCCAGGCGAAGACTATCGAACATTGAACCAAGAGGTGTGGCCGCGAACCACACTAAGCACAGGCAACAGCCCAAGTTATTTCACCGCGCATGTCGTGCTATTTTTGCCTTGTACCTTGATGCTTTGGTGGCTGGAGCGTCATGCGGCCTGAAAAATGATGCGAACACATTGCACCTAAAGCGCTGAGACACCAGTTCCGGTTTTTTTTTTTCCCCCTCAGACACCCTGAACGCCGTTTCCAGGAGTTGGTATCTAGACACGATTGGCGGTGTTAATGAGTGCGCCAGGGTCGCTTTAGGCTTATTTTGTGTCAACCTCTCTATTTACAAGATTGGACTCGCACATAAAGTATTAGGATCAATTTGTTTTCTCTTGCAAAGTGAAAGGAATGGAACCAGTACGTGGATATAGATAGACTACTGGAGCCGATGTCTGTGGGTTAGTGAGAAAGCGGAGTTCAAAGCCACACGCCCGGTAGTCTTTCAGCCTGCAGTAATCATTTAGCTCTTTCAGCCCGCGCTAGTGAGCAAAACATGGCGAAGCGGCTCGCTAAGAATGTGATGCTAGAAGGCGGCAAGGCGGCAGCGCGGAGCCGGACCGTATGGAGGATTTTCCGAGATTGATTTTGTGACATGTTCTCTCGAGCCCGGCACTCGGCGTTTAGAGCTATCCCTAGCCAAGAGAGCGGAAAAAAGGCCAAACACTTGTACTATATTTTCTAGGTAGGGCGCGTTCGTCTTATCCTCTTTCAGCCCGCGTGTTAGTTTCCCCTAGGTTCGATTGCCCTTTCAGGAAACTTGAATTCTTTATTTCTTGCGCTTCTTTCGATTTATGATCGGTTATAGTCCGTAAAATGTCTCATGGACTATTGGGTGCCCTTAATACTCCTCTAGTGCACCCACAAAAGTGTCGTTGGACTTATTGTAGAGAGCAAAGAAAGGTGAAAAGAAGGATTTGATTTCAGGTTTAGAAAATATAAAACCCCTTCTCCTTCTCCTACTTTATTCTTCTGTGTAGAAACTCGATACAAACTAAACTCAGTATACTTTTGCTCCATCCATTCTATTGCACACATACGTTTTCGGCTTCAACGCCAGTATGCCTTCCATTGCCACTGATACCATGCGCAATGCTCGCGACAGGTAGGCACCTATCACTACCTATGTATAAGAGTCACTTCGTTATCCCTGTCTCCTTGCCCGAGACAAAGAATACCTGCCTTTTTGATAGTATATTCGTCTACGTACAAGGAGCACAGATTATGAACCTGCTTTCACTACCTATCCACCTATCCACCTATCCACCCATCCACCCAGCATCTAGTCCGATGTTTCACATTCCTTCATCTCTTCGGTAGGGCCAAGACAGCTTTAGAGTGCCTTTCTGGGGATGGGAGTGTACGCCGCTTACTTGGCTCACCTAGCAAACAGCACACCTCATACAGCCAATGCTGTCAGAGAGATATAAAAGCAGTCTTAACTTTCCAACTCCCAATGAGATTGATACTATTACCTCTTCGTAGCAATTATTGATAGCAGCAATTGATGCTAATTACAATCTCTCTACACAGTGCCGGCAACAACACCCCTGCCACCAGCTCAGACAACAGTCATCGCATCCGTCTCCACTATATCGGTAACATCAATCGCTTCCTCGCCGATCAAGACCAAACCCCCCCACCTTGCCTTGGCCCTGTGCAGACAGAATCTGAGGCTGAGGCCGCCGGCGAAGCTCGCGCATCCGCCAATATCCATGCTTTTAGTATGCAATTTGGATGTGGGAATAAATCTCCGGTTACTCAGTCTGCATGTACGCAAAAGTAACATTGAAGAGAGTTGCTGAGGAAGGGTGCTGTTGAATTATGTGCAATATGTCGTTTAGCGCAGTATTGATGTGGATGCTCTATACATCATCAAGGGGAGCGGAGGGGAAAGCATTAGGTTAGTAGGTATGGCAATGAACATCCACATGTACCCTATATCTGCAGCCTTTTTACAGGATACCCGCCTTCGTCGTCTTGTGTGCATAGATTGACCGGTGCATGTACGTGTTAGAATCGCCAACCCCAGGGATATTGGCATCGGTGGCCATATTATTAAGGTTATCCCCCTCCAGATCCAAGTCGCTCAAACGGTCACAAGAATAGCTAGGATATCGGCTACTCAAGGGCAGATAAAATGCACAGCATTGATTACCTACGGCGCCGTGTAGCCTACAAGTGGTTGTGAGCATGGTGGAATGATGCACTGCTTATGGAAATTTGGCTTGGCGCCGTCAACCGGCGCCCCTGCCAAATCGCACCATTGATGCGGTCAGACAGCACTCTTCTGCTCCATAGCGGTTGATAGGGCGTTTGAAGAGAGGCCGAGATACGATGGGCTATTGGCAATTGAGATGCGCCGCCGTGGGGCAGTTAGCAGACAAGAGCAGTCTCAAAACGGTTATTGTCAGGCCCGGTTTTCTGGACCTTTTGAAGCAAGGTGTGACATGGAACCTTCTCCACGCTGTTCTCGATCTTCTGCTGATTCCCCTTCGTATGAACAGAACAGCAAAGCCTTTCATACTGCTATATATTCGCTACTAGGATAAGAATGCTCAGCCTTTATCTGAGAGAAAAGCAAGATTCAGGGCTCCAGTTTCTATCTTCAGCACCGCCTCTATCGTACGATTACATGCAAATGTACTATTTGAACAACATCTCTAGTTGTCCCATTCAGCTGCATTGAAGGCAAACTGGGGCGGGAATAGTAATATGCGGCTTTGAAGAAGTTTCAAGCAACCCGCGGGCTACAACTAATTCGCAATGCAAGAATATGTAGGTAAACTATAGCAGGATAATATGCATGCATACATGTTGCGCCAATCCATTCCACACAATACCAGATAGAGGGGCAGAATGACACTATGTGAATATCTCGTATGCTTAATTGCGTGCAGAGGTGTTGCCAAATTTCTCATCAAACGCGCGCAGCTGTACAAGCATTTTCGATTCTGCTTCGGCCTCGCTTGGTGCTTGCCTCAAGCCAACAGGCGGATGTTGGTCTTGCTCGGAATGAAAGCGGCGGACGATGAAGGTGGCATCCGAAGGGACGAGAGAGATGGCGGCTTCGGTGCAGCCTGAGGTGGCTGCGGGAGGGGCTGCGGGAGGGGCCGCAGAAGGGGCGGTGCTGGAACTGGGATAGACTTTGGTTAGCCCGAGTCAAGAAATAGCACGTGTGCAACGGCGGATCTTGAAGAGGAGTACAGATTCCCCGGGCTTATGTCATTAGTTGACCAATTAGAAGAGCGGTTGGTCACTGGTTTTGGATTGAAAGCCTGCACCAGGATACGGATAGATATACCACAAATGTCAAGAGAAAATGAAGTTTTGTTAATCGTGCTGCTGCATCGATAGCACTTGCCAAATTTGATGTAAAGAGGCAAAAGTGAATTACCAAGGGATAACACTTACACATTATTACTACAGTCAGCCTTACTAGCCATTTCGAAAAGCAAAAGTATTCAAGATCAGCGAGTAAAGGTCAGGGCACAGGGATAGACCAGCCAGAGGGCAGTATACAACAGCAACGAGAATAAGAGATAGATTGGCGACGCACTTAGTTGATATGGAAGGAGGGTCAAAGGAATTGCACGAGGGCAAGAATAGAGGGAAATGAGACTGTTAAATAGGATATCTGCCACTCCATAAATCCCGCTTCTATGCTATACTCTTATGAAGACTGGCAAAAAGGATCAATATTCAAATGGCACTAGGATACGTGTAAGCAGGCAAACTTAGCAGCCTTACTGTACCTACTTATGTAGTGCTTGGCTGAATGAGCGCTGGTGTTTACAAATTCGGCTAGCGCTAACGCTGGGGCCTGGACGCGGCGGGTCAACCCGATTCCACTTGCCGTAGGTTCCTATACTTGGTATGCACAAGAGCCTAAACTACAGCAATTATTCTATAGCAGGTACCGTGGATGTGCTTTGGGCGACGGTAATGGCCCCAATGGCGGGGGCATGTCACTGATGGACCCCGTCCTTGCGGCTTGGCTTCTCGTGGGCGGGTGGGTTCCAGGTGGCCGCTTCGACCCAATGCTACGCCGCCGGAGGTAGTGCCAATAACGGCGAATTTGGCCTTGACAGCAGGCGGTGGCGCATATACATATACGAGCCACGGAGGAGCATATACTGTGTCGCCGGCAATATGTTTTATGGCATAGCCTACTCTTTACGTGTAATTAGGTACATGTAACCAATTTGACTCACTGATTCAGATTGCAGCCTCTCACCCTTGGGCTGCATGTACCTACCTGTAAGTACCTAAGTAGGTACTTAGGTACTAGACATCCTACAAACATTTGAACCTTAGTGTCGTGGGATATTCCTTCTCTTACAAAAGCAATGCATGCAAATATCTTTTTCCTATAGCCCTATCATAAAGCTTACATTTCTAAATTGAAACTTCGACTGCTTGTTTCACAATTAGGACAAACGTGTAGATAATTGTCCCCTTACTTACGGAATCTAGGCGAGCGGAGCACCACTTACTGTCTATTCAATCAGCGCTAAATACTAAATATGGGTTAATTCAGGTTTGTGCGGGAATGTTGTCATTGCCTGAGGTTGGGCTGGGATCAGAAAAGATTATGCTCCCAGGTAAGGCATAGAAGTCTTTCCAGATGACATGTCTAATTAAAAATTTGGTCCCTAGATAGTGTGACGATGGAGGCTCTGAGGTTGGAGTATTGCGCATGTGAAACTCTTGCCTTTAGATCAATCCTGGCCGACAATCGCATGTAGACTCTGACATTGAGGGTATTCTGGGTTTAAACCCCCCAGCATCGGTTGCACATTGTTGCTTCAAAGTGATAAGACTGCTGTCCCATGTTTCACATTGTAAAGGGGCCCAGCATTATAACCAATGAAGTAAACTTAATGGATATCAAGGTCCACTACCTAGGTACGTAATTATACAATTTTCAACCTCGTAGTTTTACTAACCATGCTCACATGCAGCTACCATTACCCCGCTATCGCTTGCCAGCAAGAGAGGAAGAAGAGAGGAAGACTGCATGTCATCCTAATTATACTGGATAGGTCTCTCTGTCTTTTATATTACCAGAATATATAGCTAGCATTGACCTATGGCAGCTTTCTATCTCAATCCATCTCATTTCATTACCTCGTATACTTTTTTTTGATGATTAAGCCAGTTCAATGCTGATTGAAGCTTCCAGCTAGACTGAGACTGCCAGGGTAAGGTGATTCAAGATGGCCACAATGGCTTTGTCTTTTTTGCCTTGTAGCTTTTTTGGCCGCCTTTTAGGCATTTTCGTATCTTGCGCCTTATGGAGCTCGCAGAAAGCCTAGGGGATGCTCTCGTTAGCTTTTCTGCGAGGTGACGCGGCGAAACATATATGCATGTTTGCTTGTCTACTGAATGAAGGCTGTCAAAGTGCCTCTCAATTGGTTCAAGAGGGGGTTTACTGAGACATCTTGGGCTTGTTGTTTGGGCTCTTCGATTGTGAGACATACTGGAGCCAGAGAACGTTGGTCCAGTATCCAGGTTTGCTCGTTAATCAAGTTTCTTAAATATTCTTCTCTGTCTTTTCTTTTCGTTGATAGAGCGTAATATTACTTAATTTCTTATTCCTAGGCCCCGTTCGAATAAGTCTGCCTGTTTGTTCGCTTTTTGACAGCAGAATGTCTTCAGCCTCCATTCCTACTACGCATAACGGCAATGGCAGGTGAGTATACTAAGATTTTCCTTCATTCGCTACAACAAGAAATGTCGGCTGCCTTCGTACCATAGCGGCACACGTACACTGCGTTCAAAAATTCTTCCTGTCAGACAGATACCTGAACTAGGGATCATCTCAACAATGCTGACCAAGTGTTAATGCCGTACAGCGCTGGCAAGCCCACCACAGCTGCTATCAATGATGGCTCACAGCGCACCCGTCTTCATCACGACGATAGCATCAGCCGCTTCTTATCTGATCAAGATCAACGGCCTCCCATCGAATTTTGCTCTGTGAAAACACAAGACGAGGCCGAGGCCGAAGGAGAAGCCCGCATGTCCGAAATTTTATGTGCTTTTCATATGCGTCTTAACAGTGGCGATAGATGCCCAACAGCCGAATGTAAAGAAGAAGAAAGATAATTCACGAGGACGGCCGGCAAGATATTGCAAATACGTACAAGGATCTGTTATTTGTTGATGATGAGATAGCGATGTTCATGCCGCTTATATATGCCTGCATTTGCAGATTATTGGCAAAAACTGGTACCTGGCTGGCATAATGGCTAGAAAATGCAATTTTGCGCTTTTCTATGGAATCTATAGATATCTTTGAGTTGTTTCATTGTGGTTGTAGAGGTTTGAATCTGAATTGCAAGCGTTTGCATCTCTTGTAGTGAGTGGGAACAAGCCTTAATCCTTTTGACTACCACCCAGTACGCACCTATATAAAATGTATACTACCTAGGTAGGTAAGGAGAAAAGACTCGGCTTGCATGTCTTATGACGTAGTAAACAGCAAAAACACATACATCTAATACATATCATCTCTATTTGATGCTAGGCCATTCATACCAACTTATGCCCCTATACAGAAGCGTCTCATATATATGTACTCTTTTAGGCCGCCATGGCAGCGACGATAAAACCGAAATCCCATATATGGAGACTAGGAGACTGCTCTACACCGCCTACAGCCCTCTATCGACCCAATCCCACATTGCCCTTGGTGCACTTTAAGCCGTCTAGGGCTTAGTATTTCATGCGCGTGCGTCAGATCCCTGCATTAGATGGAGATGCATGCCCAGCCGCCACGCGGGAAACTGCTCAAGATCATGCAATGGCCCTCAGATGCTGTGCATGGGGTCCCAGCGGCAAGCCAGTAGTGTCGCATGGATCACACGCTTTTGTAGACGTCACTTCGGAGTACAGGGATAGCGGAAGTGCAAAGAATCGCCGTCTTGGATACCGACTCAGCCCAGCAGGAAGTAATTGAAACCAGTGTGTTACGTATATAGAGTCATGAACCAATCGGAATGTTCTTCCGAAGCATCTTCGCTACAGATATGTCAGCAACACTATATGAGCTGCCTGTGGAACCATAGCGCAACGAAAAGGTTGTGTCGGCTACGCACTGCGCATACCTGCATACAGAGACATAACTCTGCAGCATGCATGCATAATGTAAGGGAATGCGCGTGTCAGTGAATACCACGCTGTATAATCTAACTGTCAGTTGCTGTAGATTGGTGGCGTGCGGGGGGGTATGAGCACGTTGCTCAACTGATTCTTGGACAACCATCAGTTCAATAGCTACAGACATCATAGCATTCTATATGTAGTTAGTCTCTGCTCGTTGAACAGTAGGTGGTATCTAATAAAGGCTATACGAGGCAAAACTAACCTGGCCTTATACGGTAAGCACCAAGTCTCAATTACATGTGTACAAGTGCCAGGTACTCGGTACGACTTCAGTCATTCCAATAAACGCAGATATAGCGGCATCTGTAAATCTTCCCAGGTTCAGCTATTCGCCAGTGAATAACTTTGAATGCCTTACAAGGCAGCTTCAGAAATCAATGATGCCTTCATTATCCCCTTGTACTGCGTGAATGTCTGTCTGCCTCGCTATTCTACGCGTAGTACTAATAATAGCACAGAGGTATTTTTAAATAGCAGCTGTTTCGATTTACTACCTACATGTACTTTAGTACCTATAGGCAGCCAGGCAGCCCGTGTTTATGTCCGTGGTAAAAAAGGGGTTAATATGTGAGCACTATACATGCGCGTGCTTCGAGTCCAGATCTTGGTCCGAAAGACTCAGTTATCAGACTCCCCCCTGAAGTACCAGTAAAGAAAAGCTCCACACGTTTCAAAAGCTTTGGGATTATAATATTTCCTATAGCTGTTTCTTCTCTTTCGAGTTTTGAGCGGTCGAGACTTTTGGTATTGAGCTACGCAATCTTGCGCATTGTGCCTACCACACCGCTGTAACTCGTCCACACCACTTCGATTCGCTTGGCACTTGGGCCGCCACTCTATAGTTTCGGCATTGGGCAGCCGTGGTACAGTATATCAAAAACTCGGCGCAGGAACACTAGCATATGCTCCGGCATGAGTGGAAAGGGGTCTATACACAGAGTAGCGGTCTATACACAGAGTGGCGAAGCATATGCGCTTGATATGAATACACATGCTTATGACTTTGTCTATTCCCGAGAGCCAGGGATTAAGTAGGTAGGACGCCAAGGGCCTGCTACCATCTAGAAAACTCATTGTATCCCCAGGTACGTATCTGTCTTGGGCTTTTGCGCAACAAATTCTGTGTTACGGCGGTAGGCATCTGAATGCAGATGGCCACGATAGCGGCATAACAGGCACTCCATACGCCTTTTGGCCATGTACCAAGTTAGCAGTCTTCGCCGCTAAATTAGTATAATGCAGCTTACAGAAACCACGGCACCTTTGGTGAAACATT